GCCACTCCATCTTCTTTTCTGTGAGGAAAACGCTCCAACTGTTTAGAGTCTGACCTTTCTCTTCTCACAAATTGTTCTGGCACAGTTAGCTCTTGTGCAGGCTTTGCCCCAGTTGCAATCTCAGCTTCTTCTTCATTTCCCTCATACTCATTCAATACCATAACATCTTCTTTTCTACAAGGTATGGGTAGGTCCTGGGGCATGGTGACTGAAGTTTGACTTTGAAGAGATGCTAATTCTGATTTGGTTAAGTCTTGCTTCCACTCGGCTATATTGTCCTCTTGCTCCTGGAGAACCTTCATATATTCCACAGTACCCACAGAAGTCCTAGGTTCTGATGTCATCTGTGGAGTCACATTCTTACCAGATGTTGCATCTGACTTTAATATGCTTTTAAAGGACTTCATGCTGAATCCTTTTGAATGGCCTGATGTACTTTGTTGAGGAGATACCATAGATTTTGTGAATGAGGAACTAACAGTCTATAAGAAAACAAATAAATATATTATGAAAGACAGTATTAACGATGGCAATTCAACAGCATTCTTCCATTGTGTGAACACAAGTAATCACCTCTTCTTCCCACAAAGTAAATAAACAGACATTGAAGTACATGATAGAAAATCAGTAGATGGGAGAAAATAGGTAAGGAGGAAGTTTATACCAAACACATTTCCTCTTTGTAATCTGAATCCGCATTATGTGTCTAAGATAAAGACGGTGTACATTTGATTTTAAAAGTCTATCATCTATTATCATTATTACTGATCAAATTCCTTTTGAAAACTATAATTTAAATAATCTTCACATTCATTGGCTATAAACCATCCTTCCACATAGCCTTCAATCTCTGCTTTCAGACAATTATAAAATCTATAGAGAGATATCATTATAATTCCCAACATCCTAAATCAGCTTGTAAAAATTGTTATCCCAAACTAAAACCCAAGCCTTACTTTCCTGTAAGCACTTCCTCTCCAAAGATCGTAAATATAAACATTCATTTCTTCCTTGCTAATTATCGCAGCATGAAGCCAAGCATTTTAGAGTGCAGGGGAATGAGGGAAAAGGGCTATAAGATCCAACCTTTTACCCAGCTTCCTCATTAATCAAATTTGGAGACCTTCCCAACCATTTGAAGACCTACCCAACCATACAACTGGAGTCATATCCTTCTGATACTATAAGCAGGAAGGCTGAAGTAAAATTATGCAATAACAGTCACATGATTTTTCATTTAATGACTGAGTTGCTGGTCCCAACTTTAGTCACTAAACAAGAACTACAGTAAGTGTACAGTATTTGAGGCAGATGGGTACTGAGGCCTCAATCTAGACATTCAGATACTATGGATTCAACCGCTTTTAGTATCATTTCCAATGAATTTCTACAGGAAGAGTAATTCTATCAGGCCTCCTTTATGACCATCTGATATTTTTATCAGACTATGTAGTATGTAGCCTTTTCCCAGACAAAAGGGACATAAGCTATTTCAGAGTGGGTTACTTCCTACGACTGGCATTTATTAAAAGGGCCTTCAAGAATCTGAAAGGCAAATAGCAATGAAACTGTATTTTTTATTCTTTGCATTTGTCTAGCAACAAATAAAAATCAATAAAATGACAAAAAAGAAAAAGAGAACAACAGAACTGAGGAGAGGGAAAAATCTCTGGAGAAATGTGTTGCTTGTGGTGCAATTTTAAAAAATTATCTGGAACCACACAAAGGGCAGGGGTCCGTGCCAAAATTTCTACTCTGAGACGTTTAAATGAATCTTCATGTAGCTGGCACATCCTGCTTGAGCAAATCACAAAGACCATGATGATTTTATTTCTCTACCACCTTTCAACAGAAATGCTAATGACATGAAAGGGTCATTGTGATAAAATGTCTATCAAAGATCAGGCTGGTACAGAATTCACACTACCAAAAAAAAAGAAAAAAGAAGAAGAACAAGAAAAAGGCTAAATTTTCTTGTTTAGAGAAAGAAATATCATCAAGCAAAAATATCATCTCCTTACCCCTAATGAAGGACTTGGAGATTGCCAAGGCACTATGGTATTGGTTATTACGCATACAGAAGCATTAATGTAGTTTTTTGTTGCCTGGATTGCTTCTCTTTGCAACCAGGGTATTAAAGCGAGTATGCCAGCTGCTGCAATATTGCAAACCCCGGTTACTACAAAGCCAATAGTATAACTGCCATACATGTCATACATTGCACCTGAAACAAAAATACATTGTTTACTTTTGTGCTTCCTTTCCCAAAACAGAATTTTCTTTCAAATGATACTGTTAGGAATATGAGTCATCTAACAGCTATTTGGGTTAGAAATATATAAACCAGGATAAACATTTTAAAACTGTAACTTTAAGAAAATGCAAAACTGTAATTAGGTGTGGTTTCTCAAACGGCCATGAGGTGGAGCCAGAAACCTGGTTTGTTTAGTCTGAGTCTCAGAAGAGATTGTAAGTATATCTCTGTTTCCTTCTGTTGGAAAGTATTGCCGTTGCTCCATTTCCTCTAATTGACTGATATTACTGGATTTAATGTAAGTCTGATACTGAACTGTTTTTGACACTGGACTTAAGATATTTGGATTATCCCTGGATTGAAAACTGACTGATTTTACCTGTGAATGGCTTTGGACTGCTTATTTTGGACTTGGCTTAAATCTTTATTGAAGTAAAAACCTATATTTACTGTACAGTGTATCTGTGTACTCTGTGTGTATTATTCAAACACACCTCTCAAAAACATCTCCCTGTATGCGTTCATTCTCCTAACGAGGAATTACCTCAACAGATACCATACATTCCAGTATCAAAAAGATTTAAGTATTCACAGCACACACCTTCCTGATCCCAAAAGCTATATAGATGGTCCTTGTTTAACTGTGCTAATTGGAATTGAAAACTCCATCATTTAGCAACATGGGTTTATGTAAAAAAAAAGGTGACTGCTTAGCTGCAGCAGTTCTGGCAGTCCCAGTTGCCATTGTTAAGCAAGAACGGTGTATTTTGTTAAGTGAGAATGTCTTACGATCACAGCTTCTGACTTCCTGCTGGCTTCCCCATTGACTTTGTGAGGAGCAAGCACAGAAATTGTTATTACGTGACTGCAGGATGCTTCAATGGTTGCAAAGTCCCATTGTAACTACCACTTGTTCAGTGCTGTCATTAAGTGCTAAATGAGTGGTCATTAAACAAGGACCACCTATACAGGCATACATAGAAAAGCAAGAAGAAAGTCCCTAGTGACTAATGGACCCAGATAGGTTCCAAAGGGAGTGGCAATTGTTCCTGCTATTGTGCTACAAAGCTCTGGTAGCCTCTTGGAATAAGAACATGACTGAAGCAACCATGGGATCCCGACACTCTATAGAAGAGATAAAGCAAGACAACAGACATCTAATGCTTTGCTGGCATTCAGTGAGGGATGAATTCGAACCTGGAAATGAAATGCTATTAAGACCTAACTAGTGGTGGCAAGTGTGGCAAAGCATCCTTAATTCTCTGTTTGTATTGTGTTTGCAGGTAACTGTCCTGCCACTCTGTTCTGGGTGGGATGAGTCCTCCTGGGCTCCTGAGTGGCTTATAGGGGCTTGGAGAACCTCTTGCAGTGGGGCAATGAGGAGGAATTTGCTCAGCCATCTGCCAGGCAAAGTTGCTCAGGTTCATTCTCAAGTGGACGCTGGCCGTGTTGCAGGACACGTGGAAATACCGAGGAAAGGAGTATTGCTGTTATATGAACAGGTTTGAACATGTCTGAAACAGAGAGTGTCTTTGGGGCTGTAAGCTCAGCCACCTGTTCTTTAAATCCATGTCCCTCTTTGCTGATTAAACTGGTTCAGGGGATTGTGTGAGTAGGTTCTGATGATGGTCAATTTCTCAAGAAGCCAGGCATATATAAGATTTTTGGGGGGGAGTCATGCATCCATCCTTGCCCTATTTGACCTCTCTGCAGTTTTTGATATCATTGACATGGAGTCCTTCTGGGTTGACTGGGTTGACTGGGGGTGGGTGATATAGTGCTGTTCTAGTTCACTTCATTTTTGCAGGGCTGATTCCAGGTGAGGAGCTAGCTGGGGAGAAGAGATCTGCTTGTCCTACCAAATCTGCCAGAGAAAGCATGCTGCGTGTCCCAACCGTTAAGGAATTAAACTTGGGTCCCGGGCAGGCTGTCCTTGGTGTGCCACTCCCATTATGAGAACTTGATACCCCCAGAAGTGAGGCTAGGCCCATCCCTTTCAATATTCCACAAGTCCCTTGGGACCAGGCTGTACCATCAGAGGCTATTAGTGGACTGGGGAAATCCTATGATTCTATTTTACTGTGGCTAATATCATTCTCCCTGCTTAGGTGTTGTTTTCTTGTTTTGAAAGATGACAGTTTTAAAATATTTATTGGTCTTTCTTTTTAATTCACAGCTGTATACCATACTTGTGAGATCTGCAGGCATACAAATATAATAAATAAGCAAATAAACAAGCAAGCAAGCCTTGGGAAGAGTCAGTTCCTGGACAGATTAGCAATATACTTTTCTCTAGGCTAACAATGTTCAGTTGTACTTTTATAGACAAATCATACTAACTGGATTACCTGCAAAGGGTGGACCAAAACAGCTGATTGCATTGACAGCCATCATAAACCCCCAAGCAATAGGCATTTTCTCTGCTCCCATCAAATCAAATGTAAGGACAGGTAGGAGAACATAGTTTCCTGCATCAAAAAATCCCAAAAGGGAGCAAATGGCTATAAGAGCGCCAAAAGATGTGCAATGAGGAATAATAAAGTAGACCACACCTGAAAAATAAAACATGAAAAAAACATGTTTCAATATGAACAAAATGCATTTATTTACCCTATAATGTAAACTGAGATGGAACAACAATCATCAGGCTTTGCCACTGCTAATTTCCAATATTTTAGTTCTGTTTATCAAAAATTTTGCTTCTCAAGCAGTAGTGAGCTATCTTCCATGCTACATATTAAGGAACTTATGCATTGGTTCCAAGAGCCTAGTGCCTCCTGCTGGAGTACTATAAGGAAGTTAGATTCTCCCAATCTAGAACCCACCTCGTATCAGATTCCATTTCCCTAATTCCAAGTCATCATATTCACCAGTGACTATGGGAACTGGAATTCAAGCCATCTCAAGAATGGCCTGAAGAAGACTTGGCAACAGCTAACTTAAGGCACAGTGTTAACTAGCAGTTGTGCAGATATAACTAGTATGTGCAAGAAGTGATACTCTGATGCTTCTAGGTATAAAACCATAATTTCTCAGGCAAAACACATTCAGAAGCTTACTGTGAAACTTACCAACAGATAATATGGATGCCTGATTAATATAAAGTCGGTCAATATTTTCAATATCACAAATTTTTCCAAACAGAAGAGAACTAATCATGCTGCTTACTCCAAGTCCTACCATAATATAGGATGCTTTTTCCAAAGGAATACCCAAATCACCTGCAAGTTTCATCTGTAAAAAAAAGCAACAGTGATTTTTAACATATTCTGGTGAACACCAGCCATAATTAAGCTAAACTTGTAATTAAGTATAGCCGCAAATCCAGTGACACTTGCTTAAAGATTTATGCAAATAGTCAGCAAAAAATAGATGTGACTGACTGACAATTCAAACATTTCATATTCCTCTCTTGACACTTCTACTTTCATTGGATACATTAGTATTCTTCAATTTGGTGCCTCCTTAATGCATTACCAAAAATCAAACTGAGATGGGACTATGGGATTTGATCCAATATATGAAGAGGGTGCCAAATTTAGGTCCTGAGGCAATGACCCCATGTCTTCTTCAAAAATTATTCCTCAAAAGTAATTGACCAAGTATTATTCAAGTTTTTAAAGTTACTACAATCAAGACTGCAGTTGGTGTATGTGACGCTATTGAAATAAGTTTACTCTTGTTCGCAGTGACCACCTACCTATTATGCACATAGGGCAATCTTACAGCTACTAAAAATAAATCAACGTGGCCCAGATTGGTGTAGCCCTTCTCCAAAATTGAGTTAAGGATGAAAAGACTGGAAAAGATTGAATGCTTAATCACGTGTCTTAAAATATTTAGAACATACAGGTTTTACATATTCTATAACAATAAGCATTCTCAGCCAGAGTTCGCCAACATTTTGTTGTGATTCGCCAGCAGCAGGTGCAGTTGGCATAGGTCTCTGATAGTGAGGACTTGGACGAGGGGTCTTCATGTGATGCAGGAATGGGGCCAGGACTATCGGAGAGCGGGGTGCTGCCTTCAGAGCTTGTAGAGTCTGGTAGCAGTGATGCAGAGAGACCCCGGGGAGCCTGTGCCCAGTGCGCATGCGCACAGGGCTGCTCAAAGGAAAGAGGGCCGCTCCCATAAAGGATAAAAACCAGCCCTCGGGGGATGTGTTCTTTGCAGGAAGCAAAGAAGTTATTTAGACAGAGTCCTGCTTACTCTGGTTTGTTTTTGAAACTTCTGTCGGTGGATACTTAGTCAGTAATTAGTCTTCTGTTCTTGGCAGCCTTTTTGCAACCTTGAAAATGCTTGCTTTTGATATCAGACAATTAGGTTTAACTGTCTCTTGGCTGGGAATGCACTGAATTCAAAGCACAGCATTAAAATAGGTTTGCTTTTATACAGTTTGTGTTTGTTTAATTTGAACAAGGCTTTGTGGCTTTGCAGATCAGCAGGGTGGGAGAAGAGATGGTTCCACATGAGCAGATGGCAAACACATGTACGCAGTTCCATTTGCACGAGCAATGTGCACACGTGCCTGCCGCTCACTTCAAAGGAGTATGCGCATGTACTCGGCCAGTGCGCGTACAAGTGAGGATGTGCATGTGCGTGCACACACTCGCTAGCCATTATCATGGACTGGTTCCAAACCCCTCATGGCCCACTAGTGAGCCATGGCCCACAGGTTGGGGACCCTTGTTCTAAGCTATAACAGAAAAGCCAAAAAAAAAAAAAGATAATGACAACTTACCATATGCACAAAAGGTATGTAGAATCCAAATTTTGCTAATCCAAGAGAAATGACCCATACCTCAAAAATACGATCTTTCCATAAACCTAAATCAACTATAAAGCCTCTTAGTGGCGATGTTTTAAATTTTTCAACTACACTTGGATGAGGTCTATCTTTAAAATACAAAGTAAAAACAAGAGAAATTATTGCTGCTGTTTACACAATGCCCTAGAATACTGATGAATTTCATCAGAAAGCAACAAAATACAAGTTATGTGCAACTCGCATAACATAAAAAGCATATCACAAATGACCACAGGACAGATTTGTGTGATGTTTAACCAATTATTTAGAGGATGATTGCAAATAATGGTTTTATATACCATAAAAACCTATGCTAACATTTCTTGCTCGACATGGCTGGAGCAGATACAGCCATTAGGGAGAATGAGTTCCTTGTACACAAAAAGTTTGCTTTTATCATGAATAGGGACCACACCTTTTTTTTTCTATCCTGGTGCCTACAATTTCCAAAATGCAGCCAGCATGTTGGGTGGGGATGGGTAAAAGGCATAAGAAATGGCCTAGAAAAAACATGAGGAAAAGCCACTACCAAGGCAACAATCAAACAAGTGTGATCCATTCCAAGAAACTAATTTCAGTAATCATCTCAGACACACCCCTCCCTGGTTCACACAAAGATAAAGTGAGGGCAGAACTAAGCACATTGGGAGTTGCGAGGTTTTTTTTACTATAGCTCTTCCAATAAATGTAGTTTTAGACCTAAAGCATGTGGCATTGATTTCTTAGTCTAGTCCAGTGGTCACCAACCAGTGGGCCAGGGACCACTGGTGGTCCGTGAGAAAATGTTGGTGGTCTGCAGAGAAATGTCCCCCCCAAAGCAATTAATCCAGGCTGCACGGGAACACAAGGCTGCACCACCCACATGGCTGCCCACGCGCTGGCCCCTACCCTTTGGCCGAGCGCAAACCTTACCTTGAGTAGAGCCATGCAAGCTTTAACTGGAAGGTGAGACCAACGGCAGGGGAGGGAAATCCGCCCCAGGGTGGCTTGCTGACATTGGTGGGAAAGTCAGTCCCATATTCCAGAACTGCAGTAGTCACAGGGCTGGCCATTTGGTCACTAATGGAGGCCCATATATATATATGTATAAATGATGCTCCTCCAATCCATGGAAGGCCGGTGCACCCGGGTGGAGGAGCAGCTGCTCTGGGGTGACCAAAGGGCCAGTCCTGTGACTACGGCAGCTCTGGAACATGGGACCAACTTTCCCACCAACGTCAGCAAGCCACCGTCAGTCAAAATTCAAATTAGTGGTCTGCGGGATTTAAAATTATGAGTTTAATGGTCCCTGAGGTCCAAAAGGTTGGCAACGCTGGTCTAGTCTACTTTACAGGGCTGACTGGATAATGGGAGCTGCAATTTAATTCAGTTTTCCCCAGGTTAAGGACATTTGTTCTAGATATCTGATGTAACTACTTAGTTGCTTTGCATTTGCAATTTGTATTCTTGGAAGCAAACAACATGGGTGATTTAGGAAATGAATTGGGTTGCTTCAGTGAATTCCTAGGCTTCAATTTCTGGGGTGTTAAACTGAAAAGAGTCTTTTTTTTCTAAGCAGGTGTTTACCCAAAATCTTAACAAGTTTACATAAATTTCAAGAATTAAACTGCTGTATTTCCCAGCAGAATGGATTTGTCTTCTATTATCAGGCATACTGATAGGATCTTTCTAAATGAAAGATCCAGCTTTTCTGTTCCCCAAAGTGTCATATAAATTTATTAAATAAAATAACCAAGTGACAGGTCTTGTGCTGTCCAGACAATATATAGGTAATGGGAATTGAGTTAGTTAAGTTAGAATTGGGAGCTGTCCCCTTAAGGGAATGCCTCATGGTAAATGTAGTTAAGATAAGACCAAAGTTCATGTCATGTGGTCACATCTGTAATCCTGATTGGTCACTGAATTGACCCTTGGTTGGATTGGGGGAGGTTCCTTCACTCTTGCCTGGACTCCAGCAGCATGCTGGTGCCTCATCCCCTTGCTCCTTTGTTATGGGATGAAAGATCACTATTCTTTTACACTATGAAGCCAGCTATGCAAAGAATTGGACATTAGATGGATCTCAACGGAAACGTGAGTTATATTTGAGGATGCCTGGTGAATCAATAAAAGAAACTTTGTATGGAAGCCTTTGTAGAGTTGTCTGTCTGTCTTTATATTCAGCCAGTAATTATAAAAGACAGAACAGTAAAAGAATATTGAGATCTGAAATCCTACAGTAAAAGAATAGTGCTGATCAGAACTCCCTCAGTAAAAGAATGATGTTATATCTGACTTCCTGTGAAGAATAAAAGCAATTTGAATTCCTGTGACAAGAGTAAAAGTATATTGAAATCGGAACTCCCAAGTGAAAGTACAATGCTAATCTGAGTTTCCAGAGTAAAGATATAAAAGTTAATCAGATTGCCTTTGAAAGTCTCTCTCTCTGTCTCTCTCTCTTTCTGAGCAACAAAGTTTTGAAGCCTGTTTGAATTGCTGGGAGAGGCCCGAAATCCCCCATCTCTTCCTGTAGCTCTCCAGTTACTGTCTTCATACCCTTTACAAATGCAGTTGAAAGAAACTAAGTAATCCTTTCTCCTGCCCTAAAAAAACAGAGACACTGCATTTTCTCTAAATCTGGAGTGGCTTTACATTCCTCACTGCTTGTGCCTTGGAGAGGAAGAAGATAATACAGAGGCGCCCTCTAGTCAGTTTATGAGGGTATCCAAGCAACAGGGTCATAAATTCTTTATTGCTGAGCCGTCTCCATAGCAATGGGCCATATACCCAAAGAGAGAAACCAAATCCAGCAAGCAACTTCGACAGGAATACAGCTTGCCGTTTCTCTTTGCTGACAGAGCCAAAAAGATTTTTTCCTTTACTGAAAATTAGAGGTGATCTAAAGTTAAAGAATAACAGCCTGCATTACTCAGCAAAGGGAAATCACTTAATCATAGTTGCCCATGCATTGGACTAAAGTATAACATCCTTTGATTACCTTTCCTCTCAGCATAACTGCCTGCAATTCAGTTTTTCACAGCCCAACTGCTTGTCATTCAACTACTAGCTTGCAGCACCATCTTGTGGTCAAGTAGAGAATTTCACAGGAAATTTCTAAATTCACCTAAAAGCCTGTAGCAACCTCTTGCAACATAACCCCAAGGGTCAAGCACCAATAAGAGGCTAACCTGTGTACTGCACCAGTGTCTTCCAAACCTAGCAAGCACCACTAACAGGCCAACCTGTGTACCGCACCAGTGTCTTCCAGACCTGGCAAAGCACACCTCTAGTGGTCAACTACTGAATTTTACAGAAGTTTCTAAATTCAGGCATGTTAGGAATACAACCTACATTTACTGTACAGTGTATCTGTGTGCTGTGTGTGTATTATTCAAACACTTCTCTCAAATATGTCTCCCTGTATGCGCTCATTCTCCTAAGCCACATGCCTGCAACGCCACCTAGAGTACTGAATTTTACAGAAGTTTCTAAATTCAGCCACACACCTGCAAAGCCATCCTAGTGAAAAAAAAGCAGAATTACACAGAAAACCGCTAAATTTTCCGAAATTCACATTTTGCCAATTTGAAGCATGGCAACATCTTCAACCACAACTGATGTTTCTGATGTAGCAGAGAACTCGAACCTTCCACCCACCCTTGATGTAAATGTGGAGCCTGGTTCCCAAAGCCAGTGTCAGATGTCCAATGTTCTGAAGAGGCTACATTACCTCGGAAAGCCTACAACCTCAGACAGTACAGGAAGCTCACCAAACCCATGAAGTCATGCTTGAGGGAGGATTGGGACAGGCAATATTGCCGCTATGCAGACTCATGGTCGGAGCGGAGATCTCTGAAGCCCCAAAATGCAAGCTGTCCCTCGAGAGAATCTGCACATTGCTAGATGATCTAGATGACCTTTTCGCACAGTAGAGAAACAGATAAAGTAAATTCAAGTCCATCCAGTCAAAGCTGGGTGACCCAAAGCTCCATGAACACATCCAATGCTTTGAGAAGTTAAACAAGGAATGCAAAGACTGCGTTCGGAAGGCAAATACTCCCTCCAGGCTGCACTCCACAACCAGCTACAGCTGGAAGAAATGTCGAGGGAGAGGCTACATCCAACATAGCCTCTCGGTCACGTGTGGCCTCCACTCACTATTCTAAGAAAGCCTTCTCCCTCCATCCCAAGCCAGCTAGATCTCAAGTGGGTTCTAGTGTCTCACAGCAATTCTCTGCTGCTAGCTCTTCCCATCCTTCCAGAGCATCCTCCCATCGCAGCAACGCATCTAAGGCCTCCAAAGCAGCAAGTTATGCCGACCGAGCTGCAGAAGCTGAAATAGAAGCTGCAATAGCACACACAGATCTACGTGCAACAGAAGAGGTGACACGGCAGAAGGAGGCAGTAGCAGCTCAAGCAGAAGCCCAGGCCAGCCAACAAGCAGCAATGGCCAAAGCTCAGGCCAAATTGGAGTTGCTCAAACATCAAAGGGAGCATGGGCCACAGCATTACAAAAGGTGGCCAACATCACCTCCCTCAACTTCCACCGTGGAGAGTTGGAAAGAGAGAGTCCAGATAAACATGTCAAGGCCTACATGGTTGAGCAGCACTCGCTACGACACGAGCAGGCAAAACTGGCACAGTTAGTTAGCAGTATCCTAAAACTAGAAGGGGAGAATCTCAACCACAGGCTCTAGATGACAGTCCAAAAAGTGACGTAGTCAGACCTAAAACTCGAGATTCCATTCCTGAAAACAAAAAACCTACACCAAGGTCTCAAGACCTACAGGGCAAGCAACTTAGCCCACCAGTTACTATGAAGATTTCTCAACAGGTAGGCATGCAAGCAGCCACAGTTGCCACACTCAATCCACAGGCAAAAGAGTTCCTGCCACACCCTGCAGGCAACTCTAATGCAGATGTATGGCAAGATGAATGTGGTACCCACACCCGGCAGCAAGACAGTCTACCTGCGCATGTGTTAACGGATCATGAACTCCTCATAAAGTACTCTGAGGAGAACCACGAACCGTCTACAACACATGCCCTCGATCCAGAACGTCATGCCTACAAGGATGCTGACAGCAATAAGCACCCAGCCGCTCTACAACCAGACTCTGAGTCAACTCATAAGACAACATAGACAACTCATAACCCTCCCTTGGCCAAGGAGCCTCAGCGTGCCACAGAGGCACCCCTGGAGCCAGTGGTGAGTTTCAATTGCACTGCAGTGTGTGACAACACATTATTCCCTCATTTGTGTCATCAGATCTGCTTAGCCAACATCTACCCCCATGGACGCCCAGAAGAAGCAGTGAAGTTGTGTGTAATAGTGGATAATCAGAGCACTCGCTCACTGGCCAGATCCGCATTCTTCAACCTCTCCGCTGTTCCAAAGGAAGAAATGCACTTCACGATATCAACATACACTGTACCATGAAGCACGGCAGGGAGGAGAGCTACTAGACTCTGTATAGCGTGACGAGGTGGGAGTTGACAGTTCCCACTGCTGCCTATGTTAGAATGGGATGGGATACCAGGTGACCGCAGCCAGATTGCAACACCAGAGGTAGGAAGCAACATACTTCACCTGAAGCACATGGATGGTCACTTTCCTGCTTTAATCCGGTAGCCAAGATTTTGCTCTTGTTGGGAGTAGGCGTACCTGACGCTTTCATTCACACTGAAGTAGTCAAAGGCCCAACAGGCTCCCCATTTGCCTTCAAGACAGTGCTAGGATGGGGGATAACAGGGACAGCCTGCATCGATTGGCTGCAGGCCCCATCCCAGGCAAATGTCTTCAGAGCATCTATCCCAAAAGCTTGCCAACACCCCTTGGAACCATTGGAAGCAAGAGTACCTGTCCACCCTACAAGGCCGCCAGAAGTGACCAGCAGACTTTCACCAAGAAGCTCTACACCAGACCGGTCACCGACCTAGTGTTGCTGCAGAGAAAAGCTAAACTTGAAGATTGAACCTCAAGCTTTGCATGCGTTGCTTTGTTTGATGATATATTACTGTTTACTGTTTATCTTAGTTGTATAGTTAATTGATAGTTAGTTAGTAGTGGAATTTATAATTCCAGGTGGGGAGTATGCTGTCCAGACAGTATATAGGTAATGGGAATTGAGTTAGTTAAGTTAGAATTGGGAGCTGTCCCCTTAAGGGAATGCTTCATGGTGAATGTAGTTAAGATAAGACCAAAGTTCATGTCATACGGTCACATCTGTAATCCTGACTGATCACTGAATTGAACCTTGGTTGGGTCAGGGGAGGTTCCTTCACTCTTGCCTGGACCCCAGCAGCATGCTGGTGCCTCATCCCCTTGCTCCTTCATTATAGGATGAAAGATTCTTTTACACTATGAAGCCAGCTATGCAAAGAATTGGACATTAGATGGATCTTGACGTAAACATGAGTTATATTTGAGGATGCCTGGTGAACCAATAAAAGAAACTTTGTATGGAAGCCTTTATAGAGTTGTCTGTCTGTCTTTATATTCAACCAGTAATTATAAAAGACAGAACAGGTCTCTTTATTGACAATAGCTGAGGTAGACCTTTCCTAAATTCTTATCAACAGAAAACCCAAATTAGATTGCAGGCAGAATGATAAATGAGAATGGTGATAAAGGTAATTTTGGAAGAGTAAACGTTACCAAAAAAATCTATAGTGGAATACCTCTGAGATCTGGGAAACAGATAGATAGATAAGATAAGATAAGATAAGATAAGATAAGATAAGATAAGATAAGATAAGATAAGATAAGATAAGATAAGATAAGATAGACAGACAGCAAACATGTTGACTTCTTTAAGTTCTAGCTACTGCCAGGCTGTATGGGTCTGATCTTGCATTTATATTCAGCTTCTTGAAATAATTTTAGCCTAAAGGAAATCAACTCTGATTCTCCTTTGGAAGGACATATACTGAAGCTGAAGCTCAAATACTTTGGCCACCAAATGAGATGACTCATTGGAGAAGACTCTGATGCTGGGAAAGACTGAAGGCAAAAGAGAAGGGGACAGCAGAGGATGAGTGTCATTGGGCATAGTGAAGACTCCGTGAGACAATGGAGGACAAGAGAAGACACGGAGGTGCTATGGTCCATGGGATTACCAAGGGTCAGATGGGATTTAGGGACTGAACAACCTGAAATAATCCCTGACAGACAAATGTCACTACAATCATTGACCAGAATCTGAATTTAATAAAATACATGCTTGTGAAACCTACTTTTACTGCACACTTAAAATGTGTCAAGCTCTTATCTATTCACATGTCTAATGAATTTATGACTTACAAGACATTCATTTTCTATTCTATTCCACATTATTGGCTGCTACATCATACCCACATCCAGATGCAGAAAAAAATTGATTTAGATATTACAAGATAAGGGAAACTAAACATATATCTATCTACCTTTTCAAAACAGTCCTGGGAAGGATTTGTAAACCATCCTTCTGAGGTCAGTAAAACGAGGACCCAAATTGTTGAGGGCAATATGCTGTCTCTCTATAAACTGCTTAGAGTGGGCTATAAAGCAGTATCTAAATCTAAATGCTATTGCTATAATTCCATCTATAGTTGATGGTTATATATTATCTTATTAAAGACTTGCCCCAATTTAAATAAAATGAGAAAGGGTCTTTGAAAAATGGTTTATGAAGGGATGCTGTAATAATGTAGGGTCACTTTTTAATTTAAGCAATGCACAATATCTTGTATCTGTTACGTAATTTCCACTTGCTATATGATATTATCCATTGGGGCATTCAGCTTATAACATGCATCCCAGATTGAGATCAAATTGCAAACTTGGTTGCAATATTTGTAGGGGAATTCAGAAGCCTCAGAAGAATTCTTTGTGTTATTTTGTATTATTATTTTACCTAATATGGATTCCCTTCCCCGCCCTCTCATGAAAAAGGAGATAATAAATTAAAAATACCTAAAGCAGTTACATACGTTTTTGAAGAGGCTTGTATGCAAATCCAGCTATAATACAAATGGATAGAATTCCACTATATACACGCAAACTATCTCTCCATCCAAGTTTCTGAATTAAATAATATTGAAGTTTATTCTGTACGAAAATTCCTGCAGCTCCTCCGGCCATCACTAATCCAGTGGCAAATGAACGCCTTGTAGTAAAGTAAAGGCTAACCATTATCATACCTACCAAGAAATAACAGTAATTTAAAGTAGTTATTTTATACTGAAGTTCAGTCATATGTTTTATTTAACATGAGAAAGATACCAGGGAAAGGAGAAAGCTTATACATATGGCCATTACTGTTCTTTATTTACAGTTAATGGGGCTTGCTCTCCGTTGCATGTATGCTGGGGTCATTTGCAAGCCAAACTAATTTTAAATCTGATGAATGCAATAACTGGGATTTATACTCCCTTTGTGATTGGTAGGATGAGATTTTATAAATATGCAAAATAAATATGGGCCATTTCCTAGCCTTTCAAATCCAGTTACAGCAAATACCAATGGACTGAAAAGGGCTAAAACAGGCATGTTAAAGTTTCGAGACTTAACAGACCTACTACATTTATTTCAACTTTTAAAAAATCAAATTAAATTCAGGCATTTTGCACCTTTTTTAATATGATGGAAACATAATTCTGGATTTGCAGAAAATAGTAACCCAGGAGTAAATTTTCTAAAGCCTAGTTTAAGATATGGCTGCTCCGCATTCCTTGGACTAAGAAACAAATTAGCTCTGACTGGCAGGTGGAATATTAGATTAGACATGTTAAAAATAATAGTTTGGGTTAGGCTCAACTTAATTTGAAAGGGGTGTAGTGCCAGCTTCAGCTAACATTGGCTCCTTCAGCTTGCAAACAGAGATGAGCACTGCCCCCTGTGGAAATGTCTACCTTTAAAAAAAAGTAGTTTTAATGTGTTTTCTTTACTGGGGTCCGTATTTGCTAAAATGTATATTTTACAGATAACTTTGATTTGCATCAATCTGAATTAATATCTCTTAATGATAAAGAAAAGATATAATCAGTTCTTCATGGAATATAAAAAGCACCTCCAGGTAGAAATTATTTTCTAGCCTTAGCAAATTGTTTTTCCACTGTAAATTACAAATAGAACTTTAACTTTTCATACTACATAGGATGCACTTTCAAAATGTATATCTCCTTTTGATAAAATATCACATTTAGCAAACCAGCTATTTATAAAACTGTTTTAAAATCAAATATTCTATTTGTGCTCAAGTGTTTATTGTGAAATTATTTATATAATGATTTTAAAAAATGTGAAGCTATGTTTAGGCTGTATGTTTTTAACTGAACAAAGCCCAATAAACTATAAAAATAATGAGTATCAGTAGGATTGTACAAGGTACAAAATCTTATTCCCTATTTTTTTTACTATTTTATACATTAGGTTTTTTTTTCCAGTTTTTACAATTTCCAACTCTTTATTTTAGGAAATTAAAATGCATGATACCTTGTTCTATATATGTACTGTTATGAATTATATCTTTCAAAATAAAGAACGCAGTTATTATTTTCTCATGAAAAAGTGCTGCCTATATTATGGCATTATTTTTCTGCCACAAAAGCAAAGCAAAGCAAAAGTACATTTTCAAAACCAGAAGAAATGTGACAAAATATGATTTTATTGTAAAGCGTTACCTGGAGTGTAGGCCAGACTTGATCCTACACCAACAATGATTCCATGAGTGAAAAACAGCATTGGTAAATTATGAGTATATGATGACCACACTAGACCACCTATGGTAACTAGATTTCCAATTAGCGCCACTTTTATAGCTCCATATTTCACCAGAAGTTTTCCAGAAACAGGACCAAATATCATAATGAAAGCATAGCTGATAGATCCAATCCAAGCTTAAAAAGACAAATATATTCAATTAAACATATTAAAAAAACAATAATATCAAATCACTTGTATGTATTATTATGTAAATGACTCTCATTCTTGTGGTTTTCAACAGCACTGACATATAGTTTAAACCATTTGCTTACAGACTGTTAAGCAAGATACAATTATAAACAAAACTGCAGTACAATATATCAAAGCTATGCTGAAAATCTTAATGTAACAATGACCTACCTATCTGTGAGTTACTTGATTTAAAAGTGTCAAGGAGGGGCAGCATGTAAACACCAAAGGCGCTATGAAATCCACCAACAAGCAAGCCGTGAGTAGCAGCAGCTAAGACTACAACCCAGCCCCAGCCCCCATTCGGAGGGGGATGTAAAAAAGAGATATCTTTCCTGATCTCATCCAAAGTACATGTTCTTCTTAACCCCCGTTTTTTCACCATAGCACGAAATTTATTTAAGGTAGGCATGACTGGGAACAAAGAACTGTAGAAACAAAAAAAATGTATTATTAATCTCTCAAATAGAAAAGATTCACCACATACAAGTGGTGTTTGCATTACGACCATGTCAGGAACAGTTCAAACTTGTGACAGTGCTTAACCAGGGGCACTTACAATTGGTCTGCAGAGTTCCGGCCATCGCAGCGTCTCTGCTGCGATTTGGTTACAAGATTGAGATCTGGGTGCTTGGCGGCCGGTTTGCAATTGCAATGTCGCAGCAAGCTGCTGTCATGCTAGTGCAATGTCCAAAGTTTCCTGCTGACTAGGAAAGTAAATGGGGAAGTGAGCAGGAAGTTGGAAATCACTGTTATGTAAGGTCCTTGTTTAATGATCCACAGGGTGGTTTCTTAATGACGGCAACTGGGACTACCCTCCCTCAGCAGGAGTGAAAATGCACCACTGCATTGCTTACCAATAGCAATTCCAATCCTAATTGTCTTCATAATCCAAAAAACTATCTGTACTGCCCACTGGCAAAGCTGGCTTGACTATTTATTTACCGCTTTTCATAAGTTATCTAAGAGATATTACACATGACAATTCCTACAAGCATAATTTCACAATTAATTTTATAAGACTATAAAAATAATTGCATTTATCAGTGAATATTTGACTATTACAGAAGTGCTAGGTGTAAAGGGATTTTTTTTACAAGTGCCTTGTTTCCGTTAATATTGTCAAGCCCCAGAAGAAATGAGGAGATACAGGAAGTTCACATGAGTATAAAGGTTTATTGCAAGCTTACCCTTTCTACAAAAATCTGACCCATTAACAGTCAAGGGAAATAAATAAAAGATAAGAGAAGCATTCAAAGTGGGCTGGACTTAGATCTCTTGTGGGCATGCAAGGACTTTTGTCTTATGATGCATTTGACCTCAGGCTCAGCCTGGTCATCTCTTACAAATATTTCTAACATCAGACAAATGTTCCTGAAGCATACATAGGAGCTAACTAAAATATCTTCTACTTCTATTTGCTAACTTTAAATACTTTAAAATTATAAATTGGTTTTTAATAAAAGCAGAGAATATAATTCTGAGAGAAAACCGTCCCTTAAGAAAGCTGATATTTTTTTCTTAAAATCTATGGATCGATATACTTTTAAATATTTTGTACACACATATACAAGACACAAAGTAGAGTTATTGTGTTAGTATATCAAGGCACTTACCTGACTCAGCTTGTTTACAGAAAAATTATTTATCTTTATTATATATAGAATATCTGTTCAAAGGGGAAAAATACAGAGATTATGAAATGATTCTAGTGCAAATATTGGTTCCTCCTTTTTCTTAAAATTCTTTTTGCCTGAAAACAGATATAAAAAATTATTGAGGGAATAGATTTTATTAAAAACACACAACCACCTTCATTGTCATATTGTCTTACAGTTTAGAAAGATGCAGATAGTAATTTTATGCTCATTTAAAGTGGAAGAAGTAGGGCTATTTAGGCATTAGAAAATAAATTCTTTAGAATATGCCAAGGCTTAACGCAGCATTGGTTTGCAAGTCTTTAAAACAGCTACACTTTATTCTGGAATCATACAGCTGCTGCACAAAAATGCATTTAATTTGAATAAGTGCAGAGTTGCTGCCTTCAAAAATCTGCATAGTATTTTAAAAAGAAATATTGTAGCAGTTTATTGTCTATTTAAAACCAAAATGGGCACCTATTTGAACATAAACATTTAACCTGTGATCTAATTTTATACAACCCCAAACATGTGTTATCTTTTCTTTCCTTTTCCAAGTGATTCATGGAAAAGAAAGAGTACCCACAGGTTCAAACTAGGATGCCTGTCCACCAATTGTAATACTTATATTGTCCACAGTTTCATGTCCTGCACAGCATAGTTTTTAGTGGCATTCAATTCTTTTGTCTACTCATATTTCTCACCCACACATAAAATATTCATAATTTCAGGCATGTTCTTATACAAACCTGCAAGCAATCTTTATTACTAAAAAGTAAATTGACAGTCCTACAACCATTACATCAAAAATTAGCAATTGTAGAACATGTTTTTGAATATTCAAAATAACTTCTGTCCAACAATAAAATCAGTCAAATTCTCTGATTTAGAACATAGAATGAAGTTGGAAGAGACTTTGAAGGTCTATCTAGCCCAACCTCCTGTTCAAGGCAGATCTTAATTTACCTAATGAATGCATTTTATAGGTGCTCAAAAGCATCTTGTTTCTGTTTTCTGAATATGCTACCAGTTTAAAAGTATTGTGTAAATAATCAACTGAACCTACTTCGTTTCGTTTCTACCCAAAGTATAGGAATAATCTTTTAACAAATGTTAACAATCCAAAGGTGCTGTTTTCAACTGGACTTTGTTTTTCCTTGAACAACAAAGTTACGTATCTCATCCAAAAGGCTTCTTCAGTTCTGACCATGAATGAGAAAGCAAAACATCCCTCAAGGAAAAAACAAAATCCAGTTGCTTTTTGGAAAAGCACCTCTGGGACAACCAAGATCTGAGAATCTCCAAAGCCATTAAGTGTTAACAACAGGATTTCTTAAATAACACAGGTTTAAGTAACGCCAAAACCTCTGGGGCGAAATCAGTTCAAAGTTGAGTTTCTCCATAAATGTGCTTCAGAGGAAGAGCGTGAATCCTGCGCGAGACAATATCATACCAAGTCCAATTCAGTTCGCATCTTGTTCCTCCTCCCATACTGCGTGCCTGTCTTAATACCTTCCTTTTCGTTATGCCCTACGATAATGCCACCGCTACTCTCCTCTTCAAGCTATTACGTATCCCTCCTTTTCCCAACAGTTAGCCTAGACAACGGTGGGTCACCTCATTATTATGGGATACAGCCCCCCTGCGAAGCTCGGGTCTCCCACCGCCCACACTTACACTCCTTTCACCTAGCCCAGCCTCCAAATGCCCCCCTCCCCTCCCCAAAGCGGAAGGACGCTGACTCTGAAAAAGACCACGGCTCCAGTAAAGGAAAGCGAAAGCTTTGTGACGTGTGACGTATGACGTAAGAACGCTCCTGAAAAGTGGGGTGGGGTGGGGTTGGGTGGGGTAGGAGAGCGTTGAACTTAAGGCGCCCCGCAGTTCCATATCGGAGGCAGCAGGAATAGAGCGGGAAACTGTGAAGGGCGGGGCTTCTCCTTGGATGGGCGGCAGTTTTTGTTCTGAGTCCAACGAGGATGGGCGTTACAAAGCACTGAAGTGGAAGCGAAAAAGCGACCATCGTCTATATGGAGATTCTCAGTCCTCCAGGTCATGGTTGTCCTAAAGGAGTTTTTATTTCAAGAGGCAACTGGACTTTCTGAGTTTTTTGTTTTGTTTGTTTTTCTTTGAAGACGTTTCGCTTCTCGTCCAAGAAATGAGCTTGAAGCAGCTTCTTTGGATGAGAAGCGAAACTTCTTCAAAGAAAAAGAAGCAAAAACAACCACCACCAGAACGTCCAGTTGCCTCTTGAAAAAGGTCCTTTGGGGAAAGCAACCACCATTCCCCGACGAGGCTCATTTTGTGGAGGTAGCTTATATTTTGTGGAGGTAGCTTGGCTTCAGTAGCATTCAGGCGTAGTTAAAAACAAAAAAAGGCTGTCGGAACGGCGAAACATCCGTGAATGGCGGTTTTGAAAGCTGCCTTTCAATTTTCAGCCGGCGCGAAATTGCAAGGTCGGAGTGACCCCTTATAAAATCCGTCCCTTTCCAGGCGGTGATGCTGCCGCTGCCACCATATCGAGCCTTCCGTGAGAACAATAGTGCGGACTCCCAGACTCCAACAACGAACCTGTCGGATGGTCAAATGGTTACTGTCTTTTCTAAGCTTGTACTTACCCTAGCTCCAAAAATTGGGTACCTTTATCATGTTTCTTTTTGCTATGATGAGAATATAAGGTGATAATTGGATAGAAAAATGTCTACTAAATGCTATCAATTGTTGGTTGTTTTTCTTAAAATGAGAAATAGCTGTTAGAAAATTATTATTTTAGTCAGAAAGATTGATTTCCTACTTCCCCCAGGAGGAATATGCTTCCAGGTACAAATTGCCTTTTTATCTGTTCTGAGAGTATATCTATTTAATTTATATGGCTGTAAAATCCCATCAGTCATCAGAATTTATCCCTTGCAGAATCCTTGTCATCTTGTCAATTTGTTAAGCCAGTGCAGTAGCTGAGAAATAGGTCACTCAGCATATGACAGGATACCATTTTCCAAAACAGTTCATTTAAGCCCAAAATAGGCGACCACATTTCTGAATAAATCTGCAGATTTATGTTGTAATATTTTAAATAACAATTCAACTTAAAGGAAATAGAAATAAGGAATTACTCTTTATTTGAAAAATGTCATCTTTTGTTTCTCCTTGCCATAGACTTTGTTATGTGGTAAGTAATGAATGGGTCAAACACTGGAATTTCCTGGAAGAATCACACCAGGCTCACAGACCTTGATTTTGCTATGTTGCACTGTTGTCAGAAACTAGCACCTCCTTGCAAGACATGATTACCAACTTTGACACTGAGACTAGAATAGTAAGACTACGTATTAGTGCAGATAAGACCAAAGTCATGTTGATTGGGAGTCACCCACCTAACAAATTAATCACAACCGGCCAACAACCAATAGAGCATGTCTGACAGTTTAGTTCAGTAACATCACAAAATGACAGCATAGATGCAGATGTCAAATACAGAATTGGTAAAGCCATGGCAGTATGGTAAAGCCATAGCAGCACTTACGACCTATTTAGTCAGCTCTACCAATAGGCAAGACCAAGTTACAGCTTTACAAGACAATTGCTGTACCAACAGTGATCTATGTCAATAACAGCATGCAAAGCACAAAAGCTCAGTGTTCCATCAATGTTGCCTACAGAGAACTCTAGGTGTCACTTGATGCAACTAAGTCACCAAAGAGGAAATTTTGCAGTGAAGTAGATCCAGGAAATTGCAGGCCATTGGGACAGAACATCCAATGTGCCTAGCTGACTATATTCTTTATTTGCCAGAACATCAATACTTGAAAAATGCTGTATGATGAGAGCCGTCAGAAAGCAGAAATCGGGTAGACCACACAAAACAAGGCAACAGATGTTAAAAGCTGACTTACAATGGACATCAAATGGGAATATGCCAAAGATGCTGCTGTGTTTAGGATTCATTGGAATAAGTTTGCTGCTCTGTGCGCTTTGCACACAAGTAACCAATGATAATGATCTTATACCACAGGTGTCAAACTTGCAGTGTCACATTGCTGTCACGCGACTTTTGCAATGTTTTCCCCCTTCACAGAACTGGGGTGGGCGTGGCCTGCACATGTCTAATCTGGCCCGCCAGTTTGACACCCACCGTGTGTGTGTGTGTAGTTGCATTACAAGTCTTACTGTTTCACACTCTTGAAATGCAATCCTGTGTTGTGTATAATACTCAAAGTAAGTCCCACTGAACTCAATTTATCAGGTAAATTAATCTAGTACACTGCAACACTGAAGCTTGGACCACAACTTCTGTGGCCCTTGGAGCACATGGGAAGTACAGTGCAACACCAGAAATAATTAAAAATTTTCGATGATATAATTACATCACTGGATGTAATTATGGAGCTAGGTGAGGGCCTTTCAAATATTGCCTACCATTGGCTTAGTATTTGGTATTAAGTGAGCCACAATAATCACAGTTTATGATTTGATAGGAAAAGTGAATTTGGCTAGAGTCTGCAATGGAAACTTCTGATTTTATACTAACCTTCAATAGATCCATCTTTTCCTAATACCTAATAAAAGCATACTTATAAAACTCTGGATTTTTTTGTGTGAGTTCTTTGAAGTTATCCTCATTCTTTTTCTGATCTACCTACAATAAACAGTAGTCTAGGTAGGAAATAGATTTTTTGCAACTACTGTATCTATAAAAGGACAAAACAGAATGAAAACACAAGGTCTACAAGTTTCAACACATTTTTTTTGTTTTAAGCTAAGTAGAGATTCTTGGTAAACACTATTTTATCCCACTTGACTCCACCCCATCAAAGCTCAACATAAAAATAGCAACAGTTGCATGGACTTCAGCAACCATAGTAGTATTAATTCATGAAAAACTACAGAAATCCATTGTTGGGTTACTAGAACCAACTAAAGTGGCAAAATAGTATATTCAAGTGTTGAATTATCTTCTCTAGAACTTTTTATCCAGTGAAGATACTACAGAAGCAAGGTTTGAGTGGGGAAGCCCAAAATTTAACTTTTTACAATGTTTCCACAACCATTTGTATGGAAAAGGATCACTTAGTTATTAAACATACTCAACACATAGAACACATACCGAATCTAAAGCAACATTTTCTATTGATACCTTCCTCAATTGCTTGGCTATAATTCATATGAATTACAGATATTATGGCCTAAAAAGCACCAGATTGGTGGAAGGCTGCAAATCACAACCAATTTGCTGATAGCAATACCAGTTTGCTGATAGTAACTGGGATGATTTTAATTCCAAAAAAAACAACTTAGAAAGAAAATTGTCTATTTTTATAAATATGCACTAAGATGCTGAAGAAAATGGTCGAGGTTAAATATAATTTCATATCATAGGTAATATATTGCTGAGTGTCAATTAAAACCCTTACACAAAGCTTATCTATAAACATATGCATTTAATCATAAGTATGGCTATGTATATAATATACTGAAATTCAGACTACTTAAGTTAGTTTTATGCCTAGAAGCAGGCTAAACAAGGTTCATATCCTTCTGTAAAAAACATGGATCACAAAGAGGATTATTTTAAATAAAGGATTCTTATCACAACTTTTAAAGTTTTTTTTGGAAATATTTTTATTTTGCATTCACCTGTGTTTCAAAGAAAAAACATGCTAATAATCATTTATAATTTTCATTAAATTAAACAAAATGGTAACAATGTTTTAATACATATAAAAATAGGTTTAAAGTTAAGGCTCATATTTCAGCGGCAATATTCAGAAGTACTTAGCAATCTTGGCCACACAGAACTAAACACTTAAAGCTGCAAAAAAGATCAACTTGCTAGAAATCCTGAGGGATTCATAATTCAGAACTAACATGTAATGAAGTTAGGTATTCTATTGCCATTTTGAGAATCTTGTCAATTATGCCCTGTCAACTAAAATAACTTCAGTAGCTAAAAGATAAATTATACTGAAAACCGAGTCAACAAAATAGCAATTTTGCTGAATTTTCTTACTTTCTTCAGCTAAAAAAACCAGATAGTTGCCATAACATCAAACCATGTCTGCCATTCTTCATATGCTTTATGGATTTCTTCCCTTATGAATGTTTATAAATCAAATGGTGGCGTGTCTGTCGCCTGCAACAGACATTTCTCTGGGACCTAACTACTACCTTAGTTGAACTAGTCAGCAGTATTAAACTCCATTCTTTGCGAGCTTAAAACCTTTCCCCTCTCCAGTTTTGTTGGGTTGTTTTATTTTTTCTCTTGAAATAGAAGGCACGATTTGTGAGGGGATATTTCAGGAGATTGATTGTCTTAAAATACAGTCTACAAAGGTCGACAGTCCCACCATTTAAGATTTCTGCTCTCTATTCATGCAACATCCTCTAGGTAATCTGCTTCAACGCTTAATTGAGAAACAGTGAAGTCTTGTGTGAGGTCTTCGAGCTAAGGAGAGAAAAAATGGGAAAATTTTACTAATCTTAAAATTCAGGTTCATGTATGTTATAACTGTTAAATATTTTCCTTTTATAAAGGCTGTAACAGTGCAAAATATGTTTGTTATTGAAGAAAGGTTCCCATTCACCATGTGGCATAATCCAACCTTGATTCAAAGATTCAGATTAGCCTTAATTTTGTTTGGAATTGGCAGTCAGAAATAAACTGAACTAAAATGCTCATGCCTATTAGGAGTTGTGGTGGCGCAAGTGGTGAGAACGCAGTATTGCAAGCTAACCCTGCCCACAGCCTGGTTTCAATTCTGACCTGCTCAAGGTTGACTCAGCCTCCCATCCTCCCAAGGTCGGTAAAATGAGGACCCAGATTGTTGGGGGCAATAGGCTGACTCTGCAAACCGCTCAGAGAGGGCTGCAAAGCGCTATGGAGAAGTATGTACATCTAAGTGCTATTGCTATTCTTCAGGTAAATTTATCACACTTTGCATATCTTGAATATCTGGTCATCAACCACTTCAAATATGCTATTCTAGAATCTGGGGCTAAATTAACTAACTAATGAAATTATGGCCAAGTTTTTCAGTGCAGCATTTTCCTACTTCGTCAATGGAAGAAATATGACTAGATTTTGTGTTTGTCTCCTCACCTTCCCATCTTTTCTAAAGCAGCAGGTTTTCTTTTTCATGCAATCATATTAGAGCAGTGGTTCCCAACCTTTTTTTTGCCCCGCACCCCTAAAGAAATTTCACTCGAACCTCGCACCCCCTGGAATATAAATAAAATAAAAATGCCAACATATAGCCAATATCCTATTATTTACCTGGACTTTTCTCGCACCCCCTGGAATATCATCTCGCACCCCAGGTTGGGAACCCCTTTATTAGGGTATACAGATGATACACTCATGGTCATTGTTCTCATTAGCCTTCCCCCTCTGTCTCATTTTGTTATTTGTGAGCTTTATTAAAACCTGCAATTGTATAGATCACTGCAAAAAACAGGGCATGCCTTGTGTTCTCTTTTTCTCTAGCTTTTCCCATTCATGCCAACAGTTATGTATGGTGGTATTCACACCCCAGTTATTACATTTAAGATCATAAATGAGAATCTGCTTTTTGCGTATAAATTGTGGACGGAAAGAAGTAAAATCAGGTAGAATCTTAGACCTGTGCATCATATTAACCTTTGAGTTTCTGATTATTTAGCACAGCTTGCACTAATGTGAAAAGCCACACAGAAGCAAACAGTCCATATGCATTTCTAATGATCAGTATTTGTGCACTTCCTACTTCATATTTTTGTACAAACTGGGGACAAGCACAAACAGGTATGGGAATTGTTCACTTATCTTGGGTTAATATTCTCAGTTCAGCTACAAAAATCTCATCTTCCTTCCCTTTTCTTTACCATATGATTGTCTCAAACCTTTATTAATATTTTAAAAAAACATATCCCATATTGAAATCTGCTGATATTCAATAGCCAGCTCAATTATGTTTTATTGGGAACAGTTCTGGATCAAAAGCAATATATAGACTAAAAGAAATATAAATTTCAATTTGTGGTATTAACTCCTTTCCCAATAATGGTTTATTTTGCTATATACTATATAGATATTAGAGTGTTAAATTAAAGTAAATCATACTTTTTCACTAGTAATGAAGTCTTCTAATTCCATAGAAATATCATCTATTTCTTCACCAATGCTGACTTCACTTTTCTCTGATCGATGACTGGTGCTAACAAAAGCAAAAATTAAAATATGAAAATTAAATGTTCATATTTAATCATATTACATAAATATTACTGCACTGAAATTTGCCTTGAAACAGTGCAATGTATTATTTATAACGTTATTTATAACATTGGGGGGAAATAGAATTTAGTCCCATCTATTCTTTATTTTGAAACCTCTACAACAGGGGTGTCAAACTAGATTTGAGGGCCAGATCAGCATTGTAGTTCTCCTCCGCGCACCGTTTTGGCCAGCAAAGTGCTGCAGGAGGCCATCCAGGCCGAAAATGGGACACGGAAGGGTGGGGTGCATGCTCCCCTCCCGCATCCCATTTTGGCTGCAAGAGGCACCCTTTGCTATCTCCAGGCTGGCCCCGCAGGCCGGATTTAAGCACCCCACAGGCTGTATCTTTGAATTTGACACCCTGCTCTACAAGAAAAATCTGTAATCGAGATATAAGAAGCCAGAAGCATTTATTACACAATAACATAAATTCCTGATTTTCTTTTGAAATGATTATTTAGTATTTGGGCAATAAAATATATTATAAAGGATTTATTCCTACATAGAATATTGTGCATATGAAATGATACATAGACTACTTTAAACAAAGTTCATAACTTGGCATCAAATCCAATTTAATATTGATTTACAAATAGTTTGCTCCTAAAAACTCATCTGAGCATGTAACTAGATGCAATGTCAATTGACTTTACAGTTAATGACATATGAATTGCCAGATATCGAAGTATTTATAAAAGCAGCCAAACTTACAATTTTACAAAATGTTTAAAATATTAGGTATAAACATATGGCGTATACAAATTTTCCAGCACCATTTTTTTAAAGTGCAAAGCCCTTTTAGAATGAATTGAATAGTGCTACTGCAGAAAACAATTAGAACAATGAAGAGATTTAGGTGAGTACTGTGTTTTCCTGGAAAACAAGGCCTCTATTTTGTATTCCTGTGCATACCATAGCCCAATAAGAGCTTAGCAGCTTTTCCTCCAGCTGCTTCTCTTAATTAGCTGTTCCCTATTCAGTTTAGCTCAAGGGTTATCTCTCTCCTTTTGAAGTACTCAATCATGGAAGGCCTGAAAGGACCAAATAGGTAAGAGGTTCTGTTTCACCTAACATTTTTTAAAATTACTAGGCAGGGAAATAGAAACAATGTAAGCTTAATTAGAAATATGTGAGATTACAAACAGAATATCTCTACAAACTGGGAGTTTTCCTAGGGAGTGACTTCAATACAGACCTATTCTCAAATGATGAAATGCATTTATAGCCGCCTTCCTGAAAATTAATAACCTAGGAATTTTAAAATCTTTTCTCTTACCTGTTGAAATCATCAACATATTCATCTTCCTCTCCTGTTTGTAAACAATTAAATGAAAAATTAGAAGAGTTGAAATTGAACCTTTCACTATACAGTATATTTGACACCAACATCAATAGTTAGTAGGATTTGAAGGTATGGCTCTTTGCCCAGGCTTTGGGTGAGGAATACCCCTTTCTACCTTTTCCTTGTTCCTCTGCTGGATTTTTTTCTACCATCTTTGTTCTTTCTTTTTCTTTTTTTGGTGCTGCTGTAGTTTGTATTGTTCTGTTTTCAAATGTTTTTAACAATTATAAATTGACCAGTCACTGAGAGTCAGGTAGCATATAAATGTAATATTTTAATACATATTATTATAAAATGCAAGTATTTTTTGAGGAAAACAATGAAGTTTGAAAATAACACATGTTTAATGTATACCGCTAGCAGGTAAACCTTGACTTATAACCAGTTGCTTAGCAACCATTCAATGGATGGAATCCCAGAAGGTACTTATGACCCAATTCTAAAGTTCCAATGGCTGCCCCCCAAAGTCATGTGATTGCATTTGCATGCATTTACAACCATTTGCAGTATCCCACATAACTATAATTTATGACATTTTTGCCCAAAACTTGAGTTTACTTCCAATTTTTGGCAAAAATGCCCCATGGAAAGTAATGGCTTTGCTTAACAACTGCGGTATCCCCTTAACACCTGCAGATTCAGTTAACAGCTATGGTTATTTGCTTAATAACCACCTCAAAAAAAAGTAATAAAATCTAGTCTGCCACACGATGACCCATTTTATGAACATCACTATTTAACAACCATAACAAGCAGGCTCCATTACAGTTGTTAGTCGAGGATTACCTGTAACGGCAAACCATATTAATTCCTAGAAAAAACATTCTGCAACTACATATACGAATTTTAACTGTGCTTCTGTAGATAAGCTACTTGCCCAGTTCAAGTGATCCAAGTTTAGAATTCACCATCTTTACATCTTTCAAAATTGAATTTGCATCTGTAAAATAAAAATTAGATTAAAATGATGGTTGCGCTTTATATAAAGCCTGTTAATCATAAGAGTTTTAAAACATTATTAATATTAAATCCTATTTTAGGTTAATATAATAGCAATATATATATTATTAGTAATGGGTGCAAAAATCTATCTTTTACTTTCGTTTTCTCTACATTTGTAAAAAATCTATTCCAGAAGGGGTTTATGAATCTTTTTTAAACAATGGGAATTATCCAGATTGGATACAGTGACCTTTGCTTGCTCTTTATCACCTGCACTGTTTGGGTGCAGAGAGCTGTAGTGGTAGAAAAGGAGAACCTGTATACAAGAGGACTTTTCAAACATTTCAGGCTGCAGAACCTGTTAAATCGAAAGAAAAAAAATCCTGGAACCTTTAATCAAGGCAAAACGCGAATGACAGAGCTGCATTTGAATGAACTTTTCTCTTCTTAAGTTTCTCACAGGACCCTGTCAAGTTCTCATGGAACCCTAAGGTTCTGCAGAATGCAATCTGAAAAACCTGGCCTAGAAAAGGGAGATTTTATGTGTACAAAGACACATGAAAAGGAGTTTGTATGTGAATGGAGAGAACATGAATGAAAATTGGAGAATTAGCACCAGGGAAACAGAAGGGAAATTATCTTGGATCAACTTTCACCCAGTGGGATGTCTCTTTTGTCTGGTGGTACAAGGGCCTAAAACCTGCTTGCTTAGGACTAATGAGTTCAAACTATCCATTCCTGCTTTTGGAAGGGAAGTATGCAGTGGGAATGCAAAAGAAGAAGGAATCCCACTCTTGTGTCTTGTGTCTAAAGGACAAATAGTACATTTTTGCTATCCCATTTTTAACACTTAACCTGGAGGAAAGCTACTTGGAGGAAAGCTACTTCAGTTCAGCAGTGAAACAATACATGTTGTTGCCACCAATCAATTCTGTATTTTTTGCAAAGCATTAGCTATCACAGGCCATGCGTATCCCATTCTCTCATTTTTCTTATAAAATAGAAATGACAAATGGATTAACGTCTGATCACGTAATACAAGCTAACCATGAAATTTAGGATTACATTGTGTTTAGTACAGCCAAGATATCTATGTAAATACTTACTTTCAGACTCCTTTAATGGAGGTACTCCACTCAAAGAATTCAGACCACTTTTTATAGGTAATGAATCAGAAAGAGATGCAACATTTACTGTTTTGTTGTAATCGTTTTTCCTTTAATAAAAAGGGGTGGAAAATGCAGTTATCTTCCAACTACTTTACCATTTACTTATTAATAAAATATGACAACTAGCAAAATGAATGACTTAGTGAGGAATGCAAAGTTCTGTATTAATTTCTTACTTAATCTCATACTTCTGCTGCTTTAAAACATTTATGTTAAAAAAATTATTGATCTCAAACAGCAGGGGTAGGGGTCTTTAAACTTGACAGCTTTAAGACTTGTGGACTTCAACTCCCAGAATTCCTCCTCCAGTCATGTTAGCTCAGGAATTCTGGGAGTTGAAGTCCACAAGTCTCAAACTTTCCAAGTTTGAAGACCCTTGTCCAACATCAATAGTTGTATGAAAAAAGAGATTACCACATTGTAACAAAACCTGTATACAACTAAGCTAGAATTCTGGATTTAGTTACAAATTTTCTTAACACAAAAGGGAATTCTGAGAACATAGTTCATAGACAGATTAACTCTCTCTTGTAAAAAATACTTTTCATTAACAGCCTTTTGACTATTTCAATTTTTATCTGAAATTGAAAAAACTGCATATACAAAATGGAATGACCACAATAAAACTGCAAAATGAAAGGACAATTTAGTGTATGAAAAGGCTTAAGCACATTTCACGGCTTATCATTCTGAACATATATTTTATACCATGTAGACAGCGGTTCCTAGTGCCAAACTAAATTTCTAGAAAAGTTTAAACTGTCAGGTTTATATACAGATAGTCCTTCACTTACAAACACAATTTGGCCTGACAAATTCATTGTTAAGCAGTGCGGTCATTCAGTCATTAAGCAAGAAATCACATGACCTCAATTTATGACCTTTCCTGCCAGCTTTCCTTTTTACTTGCCAAAAGCCAGCTGGGGAATTTGCAAATGGCAATCATGTGACTTCAGGTTGCTGCAAGTGTTATAAGTGTGAGTCAGTTTCCAAGTGCCTGGATCATGAGCATGTGACCATGGATGCTGTGACAGTCTCAAGTATAAGCACTGATTGTAAGTTGTTTTTTTCAGTACTGTCATAACTTTATACAGCCACTAAAGAATTTGTCCCAAATCAAGGACAATCTGTATAACATATTCTGAAGATGCCTTGCAAATACACAGCTTATTACAGGATCCTTCAAGCTGGAACACTAATATCGTGGCATCTTTTGTACTCATGTGTATGAAGAAATCATAGCTTGACTATGGTCAAATGTATTTCCATATATAGTGTAAGTATTTCCAAGTCAAAAGATTCTACTACAAATAGAAAATATATTTTCTATTTCTTTAAAAAATGTGTTCTGTACTTTATTCAGGCAGGAATTTTGCAGTGCAAAATAGCAGAACAAGCTACTCATCATTTGTTTTATACAAAAAAAGCTTCTAAAAATCCTGTCCTTTATTTACTGTAAAAGTAAATTTAGCATCTTTCAAATAAAAATATTCCAATAAATACATTAGATCAGTATATTTAACTTACCAACCATATGACTGTTCTGGTTTTGGTAATGGGTCATCAAAGAAAGAATCACCCTCTGCATCCTCCTCTGTTGCTAGATTATTTTTTTCTTTGGTATCTATTTCTTTGTTTGGTTCAGAAATTACTTTTATTTCATTTGGTAAGAAATGAATGCTGTCTTTGCTCTTTGCTTCTCCAGACAAGATGCTTGTATCACTATGACTGGTTTCAATAACCTTAAAGAAACAACATTAAACAACTCTTAAATAATGCCACAGTCTGTTATATTGCAGGTGTAAGGAGTTATCCCAATTCCAGAATCTTGTAAAATTAAGAACAATTTTCTACTTATTTTAAGGTACCCAATACTCCCACAATGAAAATAAACAGCAATCTGTAATACTACACAAATTGACACGTAAAAATAAAAAATCAAATTAGTAATAAATGAATAAAAAGTAGGAGAGGTTAAGCATTCTTTCCTACTCCCCTATTAATATTTTCCCAGTATGATACTTCTTCAGTGGTAAACATGATGTTTGTAAAATATATAATTCTGCTTTGAATACTGGAGAGTCTAAGTATGGTGAATAGAAAAAACTATTTACAGATAAGGCAAAAAACCAACCACTGAGTACCCATTGCTACACAATCACTTCATAAATAACCTTTAAAAAATCTAAATTAAAACAATTACCCATGGTCTTACTTTTTCTTTGCATAGGATATTAGAAATTAGAAAAAAATGCCTGAATACCATCTCTACTTTTTTGCTCAAAAATACCAAAGATATAAAATTATAACTTGACTATAGTCAGGTATAGCAGCATTAAACAACATGTTCAATTATTTCTACAAATTGTCACATCTTCATAGCTAAATTACCACATTCAGCATCTTAAATATGTAATTTGCTGCAAGGAAAAAATGAGTAGAATATTTACTTTATAAACCACCAAGAATTGTGTGACAGTGAGATGATTACAAATATGGAAAATGTAAATAAAGAATAAGTTAAAAATAAAATCCATAATCATATACCTGCTAAATATATATTTTTCCAACACATAGAAGTAAAAACATGAAATTTTTAAACTATATTGAAAATCACAATAGAAAAAGATAAGAAATCTCTCCTTCAGATTGCAAGTTCAATACTAAAATGTATTGATTCTACATAATGTGAATGGAGTACAAAAATGAAAAAAATTATTACTAGTAAGACATTCTATCATATAAAATGATGCATATCCACCATAATTGAGATTCTTCAACTACCAGTAGCCCCTGACTTTCAATCACAATTGGAACTGGAATTTTCATTGCTAGGCAAGGGGGTTGTTAAATGAATAACCAATTTTAAGACTTTTGCTGGGGTTGTTAAGCAAATCACCGTGGTCATTAAGTGAATCACATGGTTGTTAGGTGAATTGGGCTTTGCTTGTCAGAAGCCAGCTGGCAAGCTCATCAATGGCAATCATGTGACCCCAGGACTCTGCAATTGTCATAAATCTATACCAATTGTCAAGGGTGCAAAGTTTGAATATGTGGCTGTGAGTGAGCTGCAATAGTCATAAGTTACAAGGACCAACCATAAGTCACTTTTTTCAGTGGTTTCAAGGACTTTCACTTGTTGTCAAAAGCGGTCAGTGAAAATATTCAAGTCCATTTGTTGGATGGATGTTTCAGCTCCATCCAGTCATCTCGACTCTACTCTAAATTAAGGGTTTACAAGGTCATAAATAAGGAATAAAAAGGGAGTTGTTGGATGGATGTTAATTTTAACATCTAAGAACAAGAACAGCCTGAGATTCAGTTAGCCATGTGTGTTCATTTTCTTGGCTTACTACATCTAGATACAAGGGATTGATTGGATAAATAAGAAAGTAATATGTTTTGTTTTATGGTCTTAAGGAGATGGTATTATAAGCATTTCTGATTAAGTGTCTTTTGGGAAGAAGCAAGGATTAAAACAGGTTAATCACCAACATTCTCTTCCTGAGGTTCAGTGAGTAGCCCAACCAACTCCACTCATTGTAGGAAAAAGTTTGCATTACATTCATTCAAGAGATAAGCCTGGTTTGGATACTATCTTTGTTATTGGTAAGATCAAGTAACACTTAACCTTAGGGTGATGAAGTAAAAATGAAATGATCCTGATACACAATCCCTGATAGCTACTACCTGCAAAAATGTCTGCAGCCTACAATTTGCAAATTGGACATTTGAGCAGTTTTCATATCATTAGCAATAGCTTTTTATAAAGGACGAGACATCAGAGGATGAGGATGAGACCCAAATAGAAAAAACAAACTAACACCCAAACAGCAGAAGAAAAACAACCCAAATTGCACACCAGATCTTTCTAGCTGAGTGTTATCCCATCCAGAGTCAGAGATATCAACTCCTCATCCTGGGCAGCCCAAAACCCACAATCAATCCATCTTGCTAGAGTTGAGACAGTCAGTTTTCCCCATCCAGGCTCTTATAGCCTCTGGGTGCAGAGCCAGCAACTAAACAGCACCACTTGTCCAGCATGGATTAAGGATGTGTAACTGGGTACAATCGGTGTACTGAGGATCTCTCCTAGCAGCTTTGATGTTAAACAGGAAGGGACAGAGCCGGGTGCATATCACTTCCCACACCACAACTGACTGGTACAAGCCACAGAGAAAGGAGAACCACCTCAAATAGTGGCTCCCAATTTGCGGAGCCAGTTCAGGAAGTTACCATGGTCAGTGATATCAGTAGCTGCCAAGAGACTCAGGACACACACACCCAACCTCTATCCCAAGCTTTTCAATGGTTATTGACAAGTGCAACCAACGATGTCTCACTCTATAGCTCATTTTGAATCCGGACTGAAAAGGTTCTCTCCCTTGCTTCATTCAAGACCCTCCTCAACCTAGAGCTTTTCTATCTCATTTCTAAGCCAACCTGCAAACAAGACTGGGGATGTACTTCAAACTTTTCCAAGTTCCTCTGCATTTATTCATAGTAAATCTTAGGCATGAATTAGTTTACAAAAATCAAGAACTGATATTCATGAACAATACCAATTAAATTATATAAATATAGGTGTATGTTAAGGATTCAGATGTAAAACTTGACACAAAGCATTAGCATGTAGAAACGCTTATTAACTTATTAGGGAGCCAGACAAATGGGCACCTTGTAAGTATTTGCCAACCTAATTTAATTATATACATTTCATTAAATGTTCATATAATTGTGATTATTGTGTATTTCAAAGTACATGTTACACCTGTATATATGTGGAGTTAGTTTACCAAAATGCAACTGAGCCAGTTGCATTTACTTTTTAGTGCAAGCTGCTCTTTTATTCAAGTTAGAAACAGAGGCACTTGCCAGATTCTTCTGCTCATGCATTTTACCTGCTCAGCTGTGTTCAAGCACCTTTTCTGTTTACGATGTCCTTTATACCTTGGTATCTGAACATAAGAATAAAATAATGGCATAAAAATGAAAATAAATTGTATGTGGGTATATCATGTAAAACTAAATACTAATATACAAAATTATGTTGTGTTTACTAAAAAAAAACCTTTAAAATCCTAGTATTAAAAATACTGATTTGGTCGAATAGCACATGAACTGTAAATGAACACCACCATTTGCAATTCCATTTGCAATTTTTCTCTTTCACTTGGAAAAACTAATTGACTTCTTCAGTTGCAAAGCTTATTAGATATGGAATGAATCATGCATTCCACTAGGGCTCATGATAGTTTCTTTTCTAGTCAACTTTCTAATTTATTTTACTGTCCAGCACATTTCAGTGTTTCTATTACAGTGTCATGTTTATCTAGGATGTCCTTCTGTAAGCAAAAATGAAATTAAGTCCAGTATTGCTGAAAAATAATTGACCATTCTCCATTTCTTTTTATATTTCATTATGGTATGCTGCTTAGTCACTATACATGGGATGGATGACCATATAAAATTGATTAATAAAATAAAACAAATCCATTATGCGAACTGGATCTTACTTTTTATTAAACTTTTAAAAACTGATACTGATAATTTATCTCCTAAATAAAGTGGAAGTGTTACTCTGTGATATCTACTCTTTTATAATCCCAAACTTTTATAATATTGCTGCCATTTCTGGCAAAACATTGTAATACTAGTTTGAGGGGGCTTTAAATACGGTGTTTCTCACAAAATAAGGCCAGGCCTTATTTTCTTTTTGACCCCCGAAAAAACGGCTAGGCCATCTTTTCGGGAGTGACTTAATCCCCCCCCTTGCATCCTGGGGCGGGCGGGCGGGCGGCGACAGCTTGGATGTGACCTCAGCATTGGTGGGGCACTTTGTATTGGGAGACCTTCCGCCACCATTGCTTTCCCTTCTCCCTGTGCTGCTGCGGCATTTAGAGCAACGCTGCGGCGTTTGGCGCAGCCACACATGGCCAGCCAGGGCTCCTCCCTGCAACCGGAGCCCGGCGGAGACACTTGGCTTCAGGCGTTCCTGTCACCGCCTTCCCTTCGCCTCCGAAGACAAAGGCAATTCTTTTAAAAACGACGCCCTACTACCAGTACGAGAAAAGCCTCCCCTGCCTGAGAGGGCAGCCCAACCCCACGTGGGGAGGCGAATCTCCTGGGGCTGTAGCACAGGATCGGCCCACCCCAGGAGAAACGCCCAGCCACCATCCCTGCCTGGCACTGGGCAGAGCCCGAAGAGCTTCGCCTGGGGCATGCAGCGCAGCTGACAGACAGGCCCTCCTGCCCAGCAGCGGAGCTCTTGCCAAGGCAGCGAGCGCCTCCCTGCCAGGCCCTCCGCTCATCCTACCAGGACCACGCCAGAGCCGTGAGGGCTGGGCAGAGCCGGGAAAGTGAGCCGCAGGTGCACGCCTGCCTGCCAAGCAAAAGAGCTGGGCCTACCCGAGCTTGGCTTCCTTCCCAAGTCCCTCCAGCCCAAACCTGAAGGGGCCACCGGGAGAGGCCGCCCGACGCAGTGATAGTGCTCACCCATCTGTGGAAAGGGAGGCAAGGCGACGGCCTGTGCCGCGTCCTCCTCCGAGCTGAGCCCCACCAAGTGAGTGCCTCTACCTGATGCCCATGCCGCTACACCGTTTGGAGCTGCCGGTGCATTTGGTGATGTGTGGGGACGGGGACAGGCTGGGCGAGGGGTGGAAAGGATGGGCAGCTTCAGGGTCTCTCTGCCGGACCCACCGGCCAGGGAAGCAGCACTGTTGTCGCCTCACCTCCCTGTCTGCGACGGGGAGGTGGGTGCTATCATTGCCTTGGGCAGCCTCTCCCGGTGGCCCCTTCGGGTTCGGGCTCGCTGCCTTGGCGAGAGCGCCGCCGGGCAGGAGGGCCCGCCTGTCAGCTGCGTTGGGCACCCAGGCAAAGCTCTTTGCGCTCTGCCAGGCGCCAGGCAGAGATGGCGGCTGGGCACTTCTCCTGGGGTGGGCCGATCCTGCGCCACAGCCCCAGGAGATTTGCCTCCCCACGTGGGGTTGGGCTGCCCTCTCGGACAGGGGAGGCTTTTCTCGTACCGATAGTAGGGCATCGTTTTTAAAAGAATTGCCTTTGCCTTCGGAGGCGAAGGGAAGGCGGCAACAGGAGCACCTGAAGCCAAGTGTCTCCGCTGGGCTCTGGTTGCAGGGTGGAGCCCTGGCTGGCCGTGCGTGGCTGCACCAAATGCCGTGGTATTGCTCTAAACACCATGGCAGCACGAGGAGAAGGGAAAGCAACGGTGGCGGAAGGTCTCCCGATACAAAGTGCCCCACCAACGCCGAAGTCACCATAGACAGCAACATATCCAGATATGCAACAAAAGTACTTCCTAACGGCAAGCCCCCCCCACCATTCCCCCGCATTTTGCATGTTTAATATAGGCCTTAATTTGGGGTGAGGGGCTTAATTTGATTTTATGCCTATAAAACATGCTGGGACTTCCTACTAGGGAGGCCGTATTGTTGGAGAAACACAATATATAATTTTTGTTTTGTTTTGTTTTGCTAGGGCTTTTTAAACTGTAAATGTTGCTTTCTGGGTCCACCACTTTTTTATCTGAGTTTACTTTTCTATCTTGACCACACACCCATTTATTAAATAGAATTTTCAATGTACAATTCTATAATAAACTGCAGCCTTGAGGAGAAAGGTTTCAACTCTGAAATAGAGAATACGTTTATTTTTTCTGCCACAAAAAACATACTGCTCCATGTTGCAGTATATTAAATGTCTTTGATTATATAGCTTCTATTACTATTTACAAAATTATCCTTAAAATTAACATAATGTATACAACTTGAATTGAAAATTCAAACAGTACATCCAGGCTAATCAACATCATTTGAATAAAACTTATTCATAATTCATTATGAAATGCTACTGTACATACATTAAAAGCACCATTTATGTGTGCACACACTTTTGGCATGCAACGTGGAAAAGGTTAGCCATCACTGCTATAGAATATTGCTGGATTTGCAATTACAGGTAGTCTTCAACTTATAATCACAATTGAGCCCAGAATTTGTAATTGTAAGTTGCAGTTCCTGCAGTTGTAACTTGAGCCACCACCTGACCAAACTCACTTTTATGACTATTTTTATGGTGATTATAAAGCAAGTTACCATGGTTGTTAAGCAAATTCAGTAGGTACAAATCCACTTACTCAATGGACGTTTTTGTTGGAAACGTCAAAAAAAGGTAAGAGCTGGTTGCCAAGTGCCCAAAATGCAATCATATGACTTTATGTGGTAAAAGACTGATGCAGCAGTTGTAACTTCAAGGACAGGCAGTAAGTAGCATTTTTCAAGTGCATCATAACTTCAGTCATTAAGTGACTAGTTGTAAGTCAAGGACTATCTGTATACAGCTCAATTATACGTAACATATTAGTTGCAAGTTCTGATCTATGGTATTGGTTCTAAACAGTCACTGGGATCTATGTTCTCCATTTCCAAAACACTACGTTCAGGTTAAAACAAGGTATCATTTGTTACCCTTTCTCTCTTCAGTAGATATGTTAACTATACTGAAAAGATTCTCTGTTTTATATACAGAAAAACGCTTCTGTGTATCCATCAAACAATGAAAGTTCAGTTATCTTCAAGGAGATCTCTATTGCCGAACTTAGTTTCTCTACAGATTCATATTAAGTCATTCAGATAAATAGGCCCTAAACCAGTGGTGGGATTCAAAATTTCTTACTACCAGTTCTGTGGGTGTGGCATGGCTTGGTGGGTGTGGCAGGGGAAGGATACTGTAAAATCCTCATTCTCTCCCCCACTCCACTAACCTGCTTTCCAGCTCTGTTCTCCTGTGCAGGGCAACCAAAGAAGACCCAGCCGATCAGCTGGGACTCGGGAGGCAGAGAATAGATGGGGGCAGGGGCAGTCAGAGGTGGTATTCCAAACTACTCAAAATTTCCGCTACCAGTTCTCCGAACTACTCAAAATTTCTACTACCGGTTATCCAGAACTGGTCAGAACCTGCTGAATACCACCTCTGCCCTAAACCTTTTTTATGCACAGAATAAAATCAACAGCTTGAACAGCAACTAAACTCCTCCAGTACAAGCATGATTTCTGTTATTATGCACTACCAGTGAGTAGCTCAGCTCTCATATACTGCACTGACTGAAGTTTTTGGACATTCTTCAAGGTACTCCTACATACAGCACATTGGATTAATCTAATATAACCAAGGTTGTATAACTGTCAACTGCTGGAAATTAAAAACATTCCTGATCTGCTTTTCTATCCCACGTGTAACAATTTGTGACCATTTATCTCTTGCCTAGATTTCATTTGAACTTTTTCCTTATACACATCATCCTTGAACATGACAATATTGATTACATCCTTAGAGACAGATGGTAAACATTAGCTAAAACTGTTAGTTATACACCTGTGTTTTATTTATATATTTTTTCTTTTTAAAAAGTGTATTTTCTATATTCGTTTAAACCTATATTTGAATTGATATTATTTCTTTTTTCTTCAAAATCTATGACTTGTCAAGATCTTTTATTCTAGTTGATCTCACTTTACAATTTATGCAGATACAGTATGAAGACAAAATAAAATATTGTAAGATACTAAAGGCCAATGTGTATATAAAATAGCAGCCTCACAGCACCACCTTATGAACATGGCCTGACCTAGAAAACTACACCTGCAAAATAGTATTCTCAAATTTCAGAAAATATTGTCAAAACCCCCAAATACATATAGTCCTTGTTTAGCTAACAAATTGCAACTGGCAATTTGATCATTAAGGGAAGTGGTACCTAAGTAGGAAATCACATGACAGAGACTGTGCTTTCCTTCTCCCCACTTCCCCACCCTTTGGAGCTAGCAACACTGGGATAGCTGGCTCAAAACTGACAAGACTAATCAGTTTGACACTGACTTTTGTTTGCCTTGTAACTACTCCTTGCCATTTGGAATGTTCCCCTGTGCTGAGATAATAAACAAGAATGGGATTAATGTTTGAATTTACATTTATTGGAGAAGAAGCAGGCACATAATATAGAATCATTTGTTTTTGCCAGCTCATTGTTTTCAAAGTGTGCCTGCTTACAACAGGTCAAGCCCAGGGCAACAAGCAATGAGTACAATGGTGATCGTGTGTCTAAGAGATGCTGCAAGGGTCACAATTGTGAACATTGATCATAAAGTTATTTTTTTCAGCACCATTGTAATCTCAAATGGTTGCTGAATAAGGCAGTTGATAAGCAAGGATTAAGTATACTGAAGAAAATTAAAAGACAGACTTCCTCTCATATACAGTAGATCCTGGTATACATTCCCACCAAGGCAAACAAAAACAAACTCAATCCAATATCCTGGCTAAAAGGCACACGGCAATGGATTCAGATACTGATAGTCATATCTTCCAAATACTATACAACTGGGCTTGTAACTATTTCTTTTTAAATCACTTTAACTAGAATTTTCACTTGAGACAGCAACCTCTTCATGATCAAAAGAAGGATTCTTTTTAAAAAACTTTTCCAACCCAATAGAATGATGGAACTAAATTACATAAACAAGGTTGAAATTTGTCTGTTTTGACTAGCCATACTCTAGCAGTATAGGTCTCTGAAAATAAAACAGAATGGGACAAAAAATTGTGGGAAAAATTGTGAAAAGAAAGACCTAACTTTAAATGGGCCAAATTTGGTGGGGGTTGTGGAAAAAGCATTCCAGAAAAAGACCTCTTCTCTGCATCCCTATGGAATGAACAGAAGAATTCAAAAGAATCCCAGGAGCCACATCTTCATATTTGCCCTATCTTTGTTTAATAGTATCACTGCTTTTTTTAAAATATATGGGCATCACTCCCTCTGAGAAAGAAAAATTAATTATCTCTTAATCATAAATTAATCAGTCAATTTAATATTTATTCAATATTTATTTTAATGCTATACAATACTGGCACATTTCCCTCTGAAAATCCTGTACTCCTTGTTTTTTTTAGTAAACCTACTAAAACTTATAACACTATTGATTACTTGCTCAGACATCACTATCAAAATCTGCCCCACTAAGTTTCTGTGTATAACAAAAAACAGTATGTCCTAAAAAAAACTTCATCTGTATAATTAAACAATTTTTGAACATGAACATTAGAAATTTAAAAAAGGTCAAGAATGGTTTAACAAGATAAAAATTACATAGGAGAAATACAAAATACAGGTAGTCTTCGACTTAGGACCACAATTGAGCCCAAAATTTCTGTTGCTAAGCGAGACATTTGTTAAGTAGATTTTGCCCCATTTTATGACCATTCTTGCCACAGTTAAGTGAAGCACTTGTTAAATTAATAACACAGCTGTAAAGTGAATCTGGATTCTCCACTGACTTTGCTTGTCAGCAGTTATAAAAGATGATGAACATGAGTCAGTTTCCAAGCACGTGAATTTTGAGCATGGGGATGCTGCAATAGTTGTAAGTGTGAAATTCACTTTTTTCAGTACCATTGTAACTCAGAATAATCACAATATGGACTGTTGTAAGCCAAGGACCCCCAGTAGAGTGAAGTTGGATTGTTAAGACAATAAAATTACTGAACAATTCTCCCACAGACCAATAACATGGTACTATACTTAAGAATCAGAGACAATTTAATTTTAGGGTATTTTTATTCATGATTTATTGAAAAAGCCATATTGGTGCTTCCTACCATCAATTCTGATATTTGATTGTATAAAAATCTATTTGTATGTTTTTGCTAACTATACATTAGTTTGTTTTGCTTTAAAATATCAAGTACCCTAGACATATTTTCCAAATCAAACCCATTAAGCAATTTCTGTCCAAAGCTATTTTACAACTTTATCCCTAAAAGAAATGCCAAGGGAAGGTGGAGCTTCAATTGCAAGTATGAAAATCTCAACAAGCTGCCAGTGATTAGGCCTCAAAACAGCTTTCAGCAGTAGGATAGTTCAGATAATTTTAAAACAAAGATTTGCTAGGCTGAAAAGCTTGTCAAAGCCATTCTCATCTCCAGTTTTGACAACCACAAGTCAGCAATTTTTTGAAAATAGTGAAGGATCAACCTACAATTGCTCTGTATGTGCATACAGTACATAAAGTTCCATAATTATTTCTATAAAATAAATTTATAACTTTAATGTAAGTATATATTTGTGATATAGCTATTATGGTAATATATATTTACCTTGGTAATATTACAAATAATTTGTAGACTAACATTAGATTCTAGAAATATCACTTTTAAAAATATGCTTTGTTTTACTATTCCAGCTTACCTTACTTGGCACTGAAAGTATATTAGATTTTTCATCTGATGATTTTGGAGGTGAATGTACATTTTCAGATATTACTGGAGCTACCTAAATAGAAATGTAGAAAACCAGTCAATATAAAATATGATTTTATTAGAATACAATTAAGCAGTAGAGATATAAAGGCCAGTATAGTCCAATGGTTAAGATGTTTGAACAGGACTAAGGAAATTGAATCCTGCCAGATGGGCAATTTGGAGCCAGTCATTCTTCCTCAGCCCTAGGAAGAAGGCAAAGGCAAACCACTTCTGAAAATGTTGCCAAGAAAACTTAAGTAACTTGTTTGCTTAATCACTAGGAATCAAGATTGACTTGGACATGCACACAAAAACGGTACTGACATACTCTCTCCAAAGGAAACACTACAAAACATTCTAAATAAACATCACTATTTCAACAGTAATTTGCTCTTCAAAGTACCTACATCAAAATGAAGAATTCATTAACATGGTTAGGATGTTAACAGTCTTACATCTCCACTGTTAGAAAAGCCTTTTTTCTGCTGACATCTTCTGACCACTTCCAGTAGCAAGGGCCCATCTACTGGGGCTTTAGGTTCTAAAATGCCCAAGTCCTGAGCTAAACTTTCTCGAGGTTCAAGTCCATTTGACTGCAAAAACACAAACACAGATACACACACATGTACACATATATGCAACTCTAAGCCAAAAGGAAGTTTAGCAGTTCTCTAAAAAAAATTTTTTTTACAGCAAACTGAATATAAAACATTTTCATGTCAAAATTCATAGTCATAAATTCCTTTTTACAATATGCAGATGTCCGTGCCACAAATGTCCTCTTTTTCTTTTAATTTTCCCATTTTTCATTGGTCTTGTAGAATTCTTATTTAATTCTACAGTTTTCTATACAAATGAACTTGAGGTGTGACAGGTATTATGCTTTCTCACCTTCCAAATTCTTCTCCAGCTTAAATTTTAAGCTAAGTAAATGAGCTCTCTACCAGATACTACAAACATAGCCAACCATGATTGTACTGGAAAAAATGTTCATTTATGGAAGGACCCTTTTATGACTGTGCCTGCCATTCTGAGAGTTGAAGTCCACAAGTCATGTGACTTTATTGTGGCTATTATAGTATAACTTCTAATTATAGTAAGTAAATAAATGTATTGTATTGTATTTTACATTATACTACACTACACTATACTACGTCACCCAGAACCATTCAGAATTATCTATAGTATATATGATGTAGGTCTTTATAGAGCAACTAAAGTTTGTGATATTGAAAATGCAAATTGTTTTCTAAACCTAGAGGCTTGTTTTTGAATTATCCAAAACAAAAGCTTGTTGTCAAGCTTAAAGAAATGTTATGATTTAAATTTTGCGTTAAATCTTGAGAGTCTGTGACCACAAAATATATTTAAAGGGGGTCCACGGTGAAGAAAAGATTGACAACCATTGTGTTATAGGCTACTTAACTGAATATTCTTTACTTCTATCTTGGTCTAAGTCAAATAAACAAAAACTCAGAAATCTGTAATTTAATTATAGCATCACAGCATAAATGAGACACTGAAACATTAGATTCAACTTCTCCTGCATTTAATCTATAGTGAACATGACTATATTCCCGTTCAGGATTTGCCAAAACAGCATACTAATTAAGTTTAAAAATGAATTCAGGTTCCATTAAACCAGAACAATATCAGAGTATAATGTTGAAATAAAAATATTAAAAACGCTTACTGTGCTTGATTCAGGTTGAAACACAGCTAAAGTAAAATCAAGATTGAAGAACTGAAGAAATTCAGCAACAAGACTAGCCACCAATCGGCCTTTTAAAGAAAGCATATTAAATGTCTTTTAATTACAACTGTTAATTAAGTCACATAATTTAATTTAGCAAATACATTTTGGATTAAAAAATAAAAGATTTTAATATTCAAAAGGAACTTAGGATTTTTAATATAACAGAAAAGCATTTTGAAGTTCAATAATGTTCTACAGTATGGACAGAAGCGGATTAGAATTTTGAGAATACAACTGTGGGCCTGTTAATCAAATGACTGCCTTTGGGATGCTTGCCTATTTGCAAAATACTTGACAGGAGGGGACATGGACATTCTCATAAAGTAGCTATTTAAAGTCCATGATATAATTCCAGTGGAAATTAAGGTGGGAGTGGGGGTTCTAAGGCATTCCTATAAATACGATGCAAGTGTCAGATCTGTGTATCGGTCGTTCTTCGATGGAAGAAAAGGGTGGTGGTGGTTTTGATACAGTTAATTGTTTCCCGCTCAATGTAACCTAAATATCTCACCTCTTGGAGATTGAAAGAAGAGAAGGAGCCATATAGATTCCAACACCGGTAGAAAACTCCTGGGAACCTTTCCTTAGTTGCTTTCCCAGAGACGAGGGGAAAATAACATGTTCGCACTTGCGGATTGGTGGAATCCACATCAGACTATGGGGGAGGGGGTTGGGGTTTCAAAAGTTCATACTTATTTTTTGAGGGGAGAGAGACTGGTCCTTATAGCAAGAACCTAGAATTTTGCTTTATAACAGGGGTGGGGAGCAAGGACCCTTTTATGACTGTGCCAGCCATTCTGAGAGTTGAAGTCCACAAGTCATGAAGGAGCCGTTGTTCCCCACCTCTGCTTTATGACATCTTCCTAATTAATTTTTAATTAAATATATTTTAAAAAGTCAGAATGGGAAATATGAGAAGCACCAATATTGGATCCCTCAGGCACCATGGTGCTTAGTCTGATCTAGATCTAAGTATCTCCAAGATGCATTAAGTAATAAATATTTAATTCAAAGGTATTATCTACAAAGCCCTGCATGGCATACTGCCAGGTTATTTGCATGACTGCCTTTTCTTAACATTTTCTGTCCATCTTACATGCTCCAATGAGGTGATGCTCTGGGTCCCGTTTTTGAAGCAATGTTACCTTGTGAAACCCAGGAAGTGTCCTTTCTCGAAGAAGGCTTTTGGCCATCCATTATATGCAGACTTTAAAAAAAGAAATTGGGACTCTTTCCCCTGGCACGTGGGTCGAGGTGAGCCTCTGAGTTCCCATTTCATGTGGTACAATAAATCTTAGTTTCTGATCACCAGTTAATCGTTTTGTTTTAGGCTCATGTTCCATTTTACTTTTATATTTTGTATGCTTCATGAAGTCATTTATTGCTTGAGTTAAGCAATGTTTAGAACATATACATATTCTAAATAAATAAATAACTTTGCAAGGCTACATTTTCTTATTGGCCCGTATATTCTTAAACTAATGTAGCTTAGCACTTAAGAGAATGACATCACAGTTCCAAATGAACTCAATGGCTATTATTTCATAAGTGGAAAAAGACTGTAGTTGTAAGTTATGAAGAAGGACTTCTCAGTTTGAATGTCACCTTATCATGAATTACAGTATGTTTATATATTCCCTGGGATGATTCAGGTAAGCCTGATTTCTCCTCCTTACCCAGAAATCTCAATACAGTACTTTATTTTACTAAAATTCTTACATCTTTATAAGGCCAACATGTGAAGAATCTAGAGTATTTTTAGTGCTAAATGTAATAAATATAAAAATATAAAAGTTATAATTATTATTTTTAAAACATAAAGGAATATATATTGGTCTTTAGTTCGTATTTAACCTTTCTTCCCAAATTCTTTTTCAATGGTGAAGCTAGATCACCAGCAGACTTGTTTCATGCAACTGATTTTTAATACTGAATCTTGGCATTTCTGTTTAAATTTAATTAAAGTTGTTTACCAAAAACATCTTGTCAAATAATAACATTATGTACATTATTACAATGACCCACATGGTTTCACTGAATACCTATGGATATGGATATATTATAATTTTCATTTGCCATGTGGAAAGAATGTGAATAATAACTTTTTCAAGGAGCAATAAAAGGTTAGATTTCTTTTTTGATCTCATACAAGAAAAAATGAAATAATTCTGCTAGTTCAGTACAACAGTAATTCATTCAATCCATGTCAGTTCCACTATGTAGACCACACCCAAAAAATATTCTGCAGAAAGGCTAAACATCTTTACCTGAGATTGGCTATAACAGAATTGCCCTTCTCATATTTCAGTGAATTAGAAAGGAGGAACCTGAGCTGTTTTCAATTGTTATCTATTTTTTTCAGACTTAAAAAAATGTTTCAGCTCTTTTTGCCTAGAAAATGGTTGTTGCAGTATTTTGTCAAGGTTGTTTACTTGCTCTCTACATTCTCCCTTTCATCATCACATGATCACTTTTTGTGAAACACATACTGTAATTTTAATGAATAGAAAAGAGGCTTACCATCTTTTGTGCTTAAAAACTTTTTCAAACTTTCATTTACCAGAGGAGTTTTATTCTGCTCAAAAAAAGAAAGAAAAGAGTTAAAGAGATTTTCCTACACTGCAAAATATTCACTACTTCAAAGCAATATAATAAAAGCAATAAAGCACTCAAGAGTTGCTTTATCAATGAGATGGATAGCATATGAATTTAATAAATAAGTAATGATGGGATTTATACTGAAGAGGCAAATAACAGAATGATATTTCTCTTAACTTAAATGAACATCTTTTTGGTCCGTCATCAGAATCAAAGAGCAGTCAATGATTTAGTAGAAATAACAAGCTGATCCGAGTGTTCAACAACCATCAGAACTAGATAAAAAGTCAATACTATACAGATAATCCTCATCTTAGAAACCATTCAAAGTTATAACAGATCACTCCCCCAAAAGGAAATTACAACCTAATTATGAAGCTCCCATGGTTTCCACTCCGTAGTCATGTAAATACAATTCAGGCCCTCAACAACTGGCCCACATTTATCTCCATTTGCAATGTGCTTTGGTCACGTGACTGTGATTTGGTATTCCCCCCCCCCCCCCAAAAAACCTGGCATTTACTTAGCATTTTTGGCAAAAATGCCCCAAAGTGAACAATTAGTTCATTTTAACAATCATGGCATTCACTTAATGACTGTCGATTCATTTGATGACCATAATGATTTGCTAATGACTGCTGCAAAAAGTTATAAAACTGTCAGTCATGTAATGATCCACTTTATAATCACCACAATTCATGACTATAATGGGCTGGCTCCATGACGGTTGCAAGTTAAGGATGATCTCTATATGGTGGGATTGTCAGCTAAAGAGAGGGGACTAAAAAGGCATTCCAGCATGGAGTCACTAAAGAAAAGTACCATAACATCCCAAACAGCCTTAAAGATAATACCAGTAAAACTTTTATTTCTGAAACGATGGTCCCACAGCAAATGCAGGTGGGCTGATATTGCTGACATCTTGGGAAACCATATTGTGTTCATCTGTGGCAGTTAGCTTTTTCAGATGTTACAAATTATCAAGTGAAAAGAAACCCTACAGCCTTCTCCCTCCCTTTAAGAGTCAGCACCTAACATTACCTGAGGACCTCAAAGGTGCTTTTTCAAGAGGCAACTGGACTTTTTTGTTTTTATTTGAAGACATTTAGCTTCTCATCCAAGAAACTTCTTCAGCTTCTTGGATGAGAAGCAAAACATTTTCAAAGAAAAACAAGGAAGTTCAGCTGCCTCTTGAAAAAGCATCTTTGGGACAACTATGAGCTGGATCACTGAGAATCTCCATAGACATTACCTGAGGACCAGAAATAGTTAAGCATACTCATATTGTTCCTTTACTTAAAAGTGTCAACAAAAAGAGATATTTATCAGGGGTGTCAAACTCATGGCCTGGGGGCCAGATCTGGCCCGCAGGGTGCTTAGATCTGGCCACAAGGCTACCTTGGAAATAGCGAAGTACTGGCCCGCGGTATCTCTGCCAGTGAAAATGGAGCTGGGGGTGCAAACAGAGCTTGGGGCACGCGCACATGCCTCTCTGGGCCGTTTTCAGCCACGATGGCCTCTTGCAACCCTCTGCTAACAAGGGAGCTCTGAAAACAGGACCTGGGAGGGCCACATGCACCCCCCCCAAGCTGTTTTCACTGGCTGCAGGAGGCTGACACGGCTGAAAACAGGGCCCACAGAGGGCATGTGTGGCCCACTCAAGCTCCGTTTTCACTGGCAAGAGGTCACAGGAGGCTGTCGCAGCTGAAAACAGAGATCAGGAATCTGCTTTCGCTGGCAGAGCGCTCAGCCTACCACAGGTGCCGACATGAGATATGTCAAGCTGGCCACGCCCACCCTGGCCATACCCACCCCAATCCCCAAGATCTAACACATACCTGATGCAGCCCTCAATGAAATCGAATTTGACACCCCTGATGTATACCATTACAACCAATTTAAACATTTACTTTGGTGTCTTACCTCAACTTTTTCTTGCTCTTCAAGTGCTAAAAATACAGCTGCCCGCAATTCTGCCTATGATGAAAGTTTTGTGTAAGATGATGTATTTTAGATAACAAGCAAGCCACATGTGAAGTGACAGGGACAAAGAAGCAGTTGGATTTTCACCTGCTCTTTCACAATTCGGTTGCTCATGGTTTATGTTCAACTATAATCATTAGTTACTCCACTACACATCCTGATTTATTGTCTTCTCAATTACTTGAGATATGAAACTGTAAGAACTAACATATTTCCATTACCTTTTTATGCCTTATGTTGTGAGTTTATAAGCTTATGGACAGGGATGAACCTGCTAATCTTATTAAAAAGTGCTCCAGGAACCTTTTGGCTGAAGAATAAAATGAAATATTTTAAACATATACAGGTCTCATCTGAACAAAATTATCATACTATACATACTATACAAAGTATAGCTCTCTAGAGAAAGTTCTAATGCTGGGAAAGGTGGAAGGAAAGAGAAGAAAAGAATGACCAGCAGCAAGGTAGAAGGCCTGAATTATGGTGGATTTGGCTGCATCACTGGAACATCTGAAGGATCAGGCTAGGGACAGATCATAATGGAAAAACTTTATGCTGTCATTGAGAGTTGGAGCCAACTTAATGCTACACAATCAAACTATCAACTTTGAGCAAGAAATCAAATAATTATAACTTTATTATTACAAAACAATTTCATTAAATTTTAATCTATATATAAATAAAACAATCATAAAAGTAAACTTTATAGTTCCTGGATAATACCATTAAAACAATTTCATTTAAAACCATTTTTTCTGGGAGACATGACTTTCCTCAGACTTGTATGAAATCTAAAATTTAGCTTTTATGTTGAGATAACACCATTTCTTATTCCACATATACTTTAGATGGATACATACATGGATACATTCATACATACATACATACACATACAATAAGCAATTTTAAAAAATACTGATTAAGACAAAACAGAAGCAAGATCCAGATTTCAATGTGCATAGCAAAAGCTCTGTCTTGTGATAAAATAAAAATTCTAGCTGGTACTATCCAGTCATGTTTTTTAAATTTGTTTTTGGGGAAGTAGAGTTAGAGAAACATTTTCAAGGCTACTATGAAGATAACTAGTGGAACAGCTTGCTTTCAGAAATCGTCTGTGCTTCATTACTGGAGGTTTTTGAGAAGAGACTGGATAGCCACTTGTCTGAAATGGTATAGGGTCTCCCTCTTGAGCAGGGAGGCTAAACTAGAAGACATTCTATTCTATTCTATTCTATTCTATTCCTACCCTACCCTACCCTATTCCCCATTTACCAGATAAAGTCACTTAAATTCACTCTAGTTGAACTCTGGCTATATAAATTATTTGCAGCTGACTGAGGAATGGTGTAAATGATTACCTGGGAAGGGTTTAAAATCAGACTGATGCAACTAATTAACATCTATATTACTCCTTCTTGGTTAAAGCCTCTAAGGAGATCTGGTGTTAAATCATCCTTGAGGGATGGAATAGTTCCCCCAGCAAGAGGCAGTGACCCATTCCTCTCTAATACATTGTCCCTTATCCAACAATACAATTTTTATTTGATCTAAAAATTTCCCATTTTAGGGAAAGATAGTTTGCAGCTCCAGAATGTCTCGAGAGAATACAGATTATTTGGATCCCACAGCTGGGTTACAATACTGAGATGGTATTGATTGCACTTGTAGATAAATTTTTAGAGAGCTTGGGATGGGTGGTGCATCATGCAATCTCTTAGAAACTATCAATACCATTGATCCTGATATCCTTCTAGATCAGCTCTAAGAGAACTTGAGGCACACTGCTGAATAGGTTCTTTGTTCCCTAGGGCAAGTTCAAATCAATGTTGGTGGGAGAAGAGAGATCAGCCTAAAACCCTGCTTTGTGGTACTTATCATATTGTGCCTTCAATTCTGGCAATAGTATAACTATTAAGACTAGTTACCAATGATAATCCTGTCCTCTGTGAGTGTATCAAATCCCCTACTAATGGGTGGCCCTTAATAGAACTGATTGCCATGAATGAAATGATTCCATATGTACACTACTGTATGAAGAAATGTTTCTTATTGATCCTGGATCTCCTTGCATCCAGATTCTTATGTGGGGTCCAAATAATCTGTATTCTCTTGAGACATTCTGGAGCTGCAAACTGACTCTTTCCCTAAAATGGGAAATTTTTGCATTTATCTACTTTTTCACAGGAAATAGGATGTAATATGTTCACATTCTAATAATCAAATCTTTTATAAAGGTATTGCAGAGTTGTCCAGCACCTTTTAATACAAGAACACAAAAGATAGCTAAAATTAAAAAATCTCATTGGATTCAGGTACAATTCCTGATGGCTTCATGTTAGTGTCCATGCAGTACTGTCACAAAAGCTACATGTTTTCTCATGGAACATTTTCTTCTTTGGGTTTTTTTTAACTATCCAGCAGACCTGGTATTTCCTGGAATATAAAATTATAATGCTGGGACATAGTGACAGAAAAAAAAAACTACCTGTATTTTAATCTAATCTGTGACACAAAGTATAGCAGATAATCTGGTAGCAGTCACTACTTTTCAGTTTAATTTAGACCGTAAGATTAGACCATAAGATTGCTGTGAGAACAGAGGTAGCAGGGGAGAAGCATAATCAAGTACATCACCTTGGGTTCCTTAGGAAAATAACTGTAAAATGTAGGATTAATCTTTCTTTTCATTGTGAACCTGAGGCAGACTTTCTTATCCCAATACCCTAGAAAATATGGATGGGGGTGCAACTTCCAGCTCCCATATAATTCTAACCAGACTAGTATTGTCCAACACGTGCAAGGGTCTGGATAGAGAAGACTGACCCTATCATCATAAAATTAAACTGGACAGCCAAAGTGGCAGGGCAGTCAAAGGGGAAACCTTTTCTCGTGTAACAGGAATGAGTCGTTCTTACGGGTGATGCCCCCAACTTCACAACTTTAAAAAACGGGTTTTTTTTGTTTTTTTAAAAAAAGCGTCCTGGAGATACGACTGTTAACAGTCGCCATTCTCCACCCGATGACCACAGGCTATTTGCAGGGTCAGAAGTAGCGGCCTAAGTGCTGCTAATGACCGGTCACGCGCGACCACCCCTTGGAAACCATGGAAACAGAATGTTGGGGCTTCAGGAGGCCTTTATCTATTCCAGTCCGGCTTTCTTAACGGCCACTCATACTGTCCACCTCTCGACCCCCAACTAAAAGTTCGACGCATCCACCTTTAATCGAGGGCGGCGCAAAGCGTCGTCGCCCCGCTCGCCTCCCTTGAAAGCGGCGATGGTCGCGGCAGACGAGTTGGTACGGCTGGCGTGTCCTCGACCTCCTCTGCGGCCCGCGCGACCGGCAGCTTCGCTCTGGCGTGCGCCCATTCTCTCTCGAGCGTGCAAGCCCCGGGCGCGCTTCGCCCGTCTCTTTCCCCCGCCTCTTCAAACCTAAGGCTTAGCCCCGCCCTTCGCCCCCTTCACCTTGATTTTGTTGAGCACCCCGCTCGTCTCCAGCGTCTGCACGAGGAGATCTCTCAGCTCTGTATCTTCCTCCGCCGCTGCCATCTTGTTTCTCCCTGACAACCGGCTAAACTGTAAGCCACGATCTGCCCAGCCTCGCAGATTCGTTCCTCTGCTCGGAAGGGGAGAGGCTTCGTCGAAGCACGTGACCAACCGGCCTCCCGTCCACCCGAAGGCGCCAAGGGGAAGCGTCACCCGCGCGAGGCGTGCGGGCAGCCCGCGCTCTTTGGCGCCTCGAACGTGCGGACGGCCAACTTGGGGACCCAGCCCTGCGATTGGCTGGAGAGGCGCGGAGGCGGGAGTTTTTTGTTTTTTTTTACAAAGCGGCGAATTTTGATGGAGCTCGGTTTGGGTTTGCGCGAGCGAAGGCAATTTCTCAGCCTTTCCACATGGGACGTCATGCCAGCTGGATGAAGTGGAATATTGATATTCAGCCCAGGGTGGCTGGGTGTTTTTTTCCAGCAAAATAACAATCCCTTCCCTAGAAAAAAGAGACATGGGGGAGGATAATGTCCCCCCACTTCTTGTCCTGGGTGGCCTCCTTCAGCTTGAATTCTCGTTCAAATATCTCTTTCCTAAGAACCGAAGTAGCCTCAGTGCTTGCTTTCTCTCTCTCTCTCTTCATATGTTTTAGTCTCCAGAACTTTAATCATCTTAGTTGCTCTTCTTTGCACTTGTTCCAAAGCCAAGAGTGGAAGTCAAAGGGAAAAAAAGATACTAGCAAATAATTTTCTTGTCAATGATAAGAAAATAATGGCAATGTGCAGTTGTTAAGCAAATCAGGGAGAATTACCACCTTTAATCTTGGATGGGGTGGCACTACCCCAAACAGACCCTGTGTGTAATCTAGGGGTTTTCCTGGACTCACAACTCCTGTTCAAAGAGCAGGTAGTGGTCATGGCCAGGAGGGCCTTTGCGCAACTGCCGGTTGTGCACCAGTTCTGCCCTTTCCTGGATCAAAGGTCCCTATTCACAGTCACTAATGCCCTGGCCACTTCCCGTCTTGATTATTGCAACATGCTCTACATGGGGCTGCCCTTGAAGAGCATCTGGAAGCTCCAGTTGGTGCAAAATGCAGTGGCCCACATGGTTTAGTGCAGACCCCAGTGTACACATGTGTCACCTCTCCTGCAGAAGCTGCATTGGTTGCTGATTTGCTTCCGGGTGCAGTTCAAGGTTGTCACCTTTAAAGCCCTTCATGGTTTGGGACCGGGTTATCTGAGGGAACGTCTCTTGCCAGTCACATCTACCCGACCCATTAGAGCGAGGAGGCAGGGAATGTTGCAGGTTCCACCCCTGAGGGAGATACACCTGGTGGGACCCAGAAGAAGGGCCTTCTCCGTGGTGGCTCCCTCTCTCTAGAATATCATTCCCCCAGAGATTAGAATGGTCTCCACTCTAGCACTCTTCCGAAAGGCACCGAAGACCTGGTTCTGCCAGCGGGCCTGGGGAACCCAGAGAGGGATGGAGTCCATCAAATGACTAATGTGATCTGCTGTCGTTGGGGCGGGGGGACTTGGTTTTTGTTTTTTGTTTTGTTTTTTGTTTTCCCAAATTTTGTTCTATTGTACTTTACTAATTTATTTGATTCTTTTTGTTTTTTTTGTTTTTATTTTTTGTTTTAAATATGGTTTTACATTGTGTAAGCCACCTTGAGTCGCCATGGGCGAATAGGCAGCAACATAAATTAAATAAATAAATAAATTACATCACTATGGCTATTAAGTGAATCATCTGTTGTTAAATAAATCTGGCTTCCCCCATTGATTTTGCTTGCTGGAAGCAAATGACAATAATATGACTGCAGGATACTACATCTTAAATACATGCTGGTTGCTAAACGCTTAAATTTTGATCATGGAGATGTTACAATTTTAAATGCAAAGATGGTTTAAGTCATCTAAGTCATTTTTTCAGTGTTGTTGTAACTTTGAAGCGTTGCTAAATGAATGGTTATAAGTAAATGAGTACCCGTACAATATTAAAAAAAACTTTCCTTAAATAAATTGCTGAAGTATTAAATGCAAATTGACACATATTTTCAACCCTCTATCTGCTGTCAGGAATATTATACTTTGAAGTAATCAACAAATAATTTAATTGGAGTTATTCTCAAGTTAGTAGTATTCCAGCCTCTAATATGTATTTAATTTTACTATTTGTATTTTCCATTTTTAACAAAGATGAGCAGCTAATTAAACATTAAAAATAACGAATAAGCTAATGTTAGAAGTATAGGCCACAATGATTTGAACTTTCAGGTATGTTGAGATTTTCATGCTGAAAATGTGCACTGTAATGGATGTGACATGTGAACTATATTTAATATATTTTCAAATATGTATAGATTGGTTGTGTCTAGCATCTTTAAGTATTGTGCTACAATTTTATAATAGTTGAAGACATAAGGGAAAAATGTGGTATCACAAAATAATAGTTTAAATTAAAGATCCATAAATGAAATTGCTAACTGCAAAGAGCAGAATTGTTCCAGTAAGTGAATGCCTGATAAAAAATTAATTGAATATGAATATTATTTACCAGATTGATCAACTGCCTTTAGTTCCAAAATGTTAAAAGTTCCTCTGCATTTTGCTGCTCCTGAAGTGCACATTCTAAAAATGTTCATCAGTACAAATAAGCTTGAACAAACTTTTCCAGAAGAACCATCTTTTGCTAGCAATGTAAACTCCAAGTCTTTAACAAAAACTGAAATGATTTGTGTTAAACAGTGTGTCTCAATACAATGTTGGAAATGCCTCCCACAAAGGCAGTAGTGTAGATTAACTCTACACTACTGGAATATGTCTAATTTTTCTGCATTGTACTGGATAATGAAAGTTAAACCCTTTAATGTGTTTTTTATCTTTCTGATAATTACTTCTAGAATCATGCTGCAGGTGGCACTAAAAAGACATGTCCAAATCTTTAAAAGCAACAGTCTTCAAAGTAGTCTGTCAAAGAAATCTGACTATAAAGGTTATTTACTAGCTGAAACTTTCTGAGACAATTTGTTTTGTATTACTTTTTATCTGAACTCTATATGTAATGAAGTATTGCTTGTTTATATTTTTTTATTCTTCCAAACTGGATTGTAAATAGATTGTTTGTAATGATACTAATTCTGTGTGTATGTTCTGGTGCCATTTCTTCCAATTTCCTCAGATTCCACTAAATTTATCAGGATCTGTTATATGATTAAGCAACCTTAATATTACACAATAAAAGAAAATAATGAAACACTGAGGCCTGTGATGACTGTGACCATACCTTAGAGGTCATTCATGGGTTCTATAGGTACTTGGCTGTTTCAGGTTTGCAACGGTAATCTTGTAAAAAAAATAAAGGTTGAATACATTTCTCAAAATATTTAGAAAACATCTGAAAAATCACAAATATTGCTGAACAAATCCAGCATTTCTGTGTCAAAAGGATCTCCATTATAAAATATGAATTAACTTCATTATCTAGAGCTGAAGAAGCTTCTTGAATGAGAAGCAAAACATCTTCAAAGAAAAACAAAGTCCACTTGCCTGTTGGAAAAACAACAACTTTGGGACAACCTTCATTATAGTTCATTCTGATTTATGAGCTTGCAACTAATCAGATGCAGTTTATATTTACACAGTATGCTTCTGTTTAAGCAGTTTGCTCAATACTAATCAAACTTGCAAGGATTGAATAACACATTTGGATACAGGGCATTTGTCTTTCTTTTACTTGGGTATTTTTAAATATTTATAGAATTTATAGAATATTTCCAATACAGCATTCTATAGATTAAACCTATAATCTTTAAGTGTTTCACAAAAATATACCAAATGTGCATTTATGATATCAGACTTGGCAAAGCCCATTGATTTAGAGTTGATGTGTGCTAATTACATGTGATCAGACTGTTTCAGTAGGATTGCTTGAAAGTTCCACCAACTTTAGAGGAGGTATTTCCTAGACCTATATCAGATATACACTCACTCTGGAGTTAAAATGCCCTTATTCACCGAGTCTGATTTAATAAATTTAAGTTATCGACAGTTTAAAAGTCTCAAAAGATCAGTGTATAATCGCTTATGGTATTACTGTGTTTCATTGCCTATTTACTTTCTACAGCAGGGATATAGGACATGTATAAGTACATAGGTTTAGTCTTACATATATGTTTATATCAATCAAACGAAAGACAAGCCATTAGAATCTAAGCCAGGGGTGTCCAACCTTGGCAACTTTAAGACTTGTGGGAGTTGAAGTCCACAAGTCTTAAAGTTGCCATGGTTGGACACCCGTGATCTAAGCAATGTTGAGAGGCAATGTATAACACAAACCCATTTTCTTTGTCTTCTACCAGCACGGAAAGAAAGTTAAGTGGGCGGGATTTAATACCGCAGCGGAAGCTCTGGCCCCTACAAGGAAGCGAAAATTAACACGGACGCGAGCTTTCCCGATTGGTTTTCGCAACCCAGACAAAACAAAGTTGCGAGGCTTTTGACTCTGATTAAAAACCAGCTCCTGAAGTATCTTGGATAGTAAGTCTTTCTGTTTTGAAGTGGATTTTTAATTAGGTATAATTTAAGTGTTTTGATTAGTGTGCAGCTTTGTTTCAAAACAAATCGGAATTCGGATTGGTTAATTATAAAGCACCTAAAACTGGCTTTGTATCGAAAAATTTTATGATGGTACTTTGCCCTAGCTTAGAATATATCCGTCGAGAAATACGGCGAACTATCCGGAATAGGCTGTAAGAAATGGATCCTTGAAAGATTTGTATTTTGGTTTTTCTTGAACTCATTTCGGACGGAAGAACAGCCAATGCTTTATTTATCAGAGATAACTTCTGAATAAACCTCTCTTAAGTCTCGATAAAAAGAAACAGGGTTTCTCAGGTTTGTTTGTTTAGAATCTGTACAGTTGCCTTTGTTTAGTGAACAGCCCAGTTGCTTCAGTGTGACTTATTTCTTTCATTTGAAGCAAAAAAAAAACACATATGGAAATCAGAAATTAAATCTTTGGATAATATTTGAGAATTTGATACTTTGATCTGTTTTAATGTTTTAGGAAATTAATTTCCATTATGTCTTCTTAAAATATGCAGGATACTGTTCTGAATAAATATGCATTGAGTTTTTGTTTTGTATAATTTGACAGAAAACTCTTCTGTGTTGTTTTGTTTAGCTGAAACCTGGATAAGAACTAGTGCATAATTCCTGCATAGAACTTTCAGTTTTTAGATAAATAACATAATGATAGATGTACTTCTGTAAAATATATGATACAATCTATGATATCTCTGGCTGCTTTCATCTAGGCACTGAGTAGAGCTAGACCAAGTTATTTTGAAAGATTATTACACCATTTGTGCACATGAAGCAATAACATTTCAAAACTATCTTGGTCTAACTCTACATTAGCCTTTGAATCTTGAAAGGCAACAATATCAAAAATTAAATCATAGTACTTGTCCATAGCTAAAGGAGCAATGATTTACTTAACCTAATATGCGGATTTATACAATGGATTGAACCATAAAGTAATTATACCAAGTGGGTTTATGATTCATTGATCTAAAATCTGGCTGGCTAGTTTATTGCTCTGTGTGATCTGCAGCTACAGGTAGTCCTCAACTTATAACCATATGTTTGCTGATGGTTCAAAATTACAACAGTATTAAACAAAAATGTGAGGACTTACAACCAGTCCTCATACTTAAAACCATCACAGCATCCCTATGGTCACATAATCAAAATTTGGGCTCTTGGCAATAGGCATGTATTTACAATGGTTGCAGTGTCCTGGGGTCATATAATCACCATTTGCAACCTTCCTAGCTGGCTTCCAATAAGCAAAGTGCATGGGGGAAGCTTTATTTGTTTAACACCCACACAATCCATTTAACAACTTCAGGGATTACTTAACAATCATTACAAAAAAATCAAAATTAGGCATGAACTGCCTTGCTTAAAAAGAAAATCTGATTTCAATCATGGTTGTAAGTTGAGGACTACCTGTACAACCAAAGCCATCTAATGAATGTAAATGACTATCTGTACTGATTTATTATGTTTGTGGAGGCTCTGTGATCCACTTTATGATGGCTTAGTGACTCGTGGACTGATTGTGGGGCTGCCTTGCCTATTGATATGCACAAAACAAACTTTCCTTCAGCAGGGCAGATTAGAATTGATCATTGCAACAATGGATGTCACTACCACAATGTATAATATCTCTATATGGAGTATTCAAGCTATTTAGGAGTAGAATAAAGCCCAGACTTTTCCTTTATTTCTGCAACAGAATGATGAGATAGGCTTTTCCATTTATTGGAACACCTTGGGCAACTAGTAGCAATACAAATGTAGCCTCCCCTTGATTAACTCCAAAGCTGGATCTGAAAAGTAATGATTTGATTCAAACATAACATTATTTTTTTATGTTATGCTTATAGTCAATGAACCAAGCTATCTTATAATAAAACATATCAACCTTTAAACAACTCTTTTGTCCTTTAGATCTACACAACTAAGCTCTGCAAAAAAATATATATGTTGCACTATATACCATTTTGTATCAATTGTGTCATTTTCCAGACCACTTCTTTCCATTTCCCTTTGTTCCTACTTTTCTGGCCCTATCCTATAAGCAGTGGGTATTCCATACTTAATGAGATTTTTTACTTTTTCTTAATTAGTTAGAGTCCCCCTCCCAATTGGTGAGGGTGTTTGTTCCATTTAGCCTGCTGAAAGTTGTAAATAATATTTCTTTACAGTATTTTGTTCTGTTTGTATATTGCTGAATCAAAAGAATTCATTGTAGGTTAAAGCAAACCAGTTAAAATTACTGTAGAATTAAAATACAGTGGCAAACATTGAATTCAAAACAGTAATTTAGAACAATAAGAATATAAAAGGTGAAAATTAAAGGAATTTTTTTTACAAAAAGCATTATGCAGAACAGGTATCATATAGAAGCAGAATGAACAGATTAATGACCTTAAATCATTATTGAGCTTCTTGACAAATTAATAAACAATTGAACATCCTTTAAAAATACTAAGTTTGTAGCATTTATTTAATGAACCTATCCAAAGCAGTGGATTAATAACTGTTATTAATGTTTGTCTATTTTACGATTTAAGACATAAACTATATTGTTACATGCATCTCAGGGAAAAAGAGGAAACAGAATGAACGCTAAAAGTATCAGGTTTATCTTCTTTGCGCAAGAAAGAGGAAGATGAAACTTTCCTTTTTTTTAGGGAATCAGCAAAACAATATTGAATGCATGCCTCAGCATTTCAGTACTACTCATAGAAGCAGCATTAGAAATATTAATTAAGAATGAAATCCTCCTCTCTTCAACCCATAGAAAAGTAGCTCATGCTCTTCTATCTGTGAAAGACTATTTGCAAGATCAAGTCAGTAATGTTAATATTTCGGGGAAACTACTTTCAGTATAGTCAATGCAGTAAAGGTCTGTCCAATTAGTGTAGTCAGACTAATAGAGAACACAAGAATATAAAAAAATGCAAACAGCACAGCAATAAGTTATGAATAAGAGGAATTGTTTCTGCCTTAATGTTTCATTGTGTTTGAAAATAATTCTGTTTTAGCATATGTTCTGATCAGAGGTTGACTGCTAAACAAAACAAACAGAACATCTGTTATAGTTGGTGTTGTGTTTACATGCTTACAGTGCTATTTAAGTGAAGCCAATACCCAGCAGACTTAACATTTTTCTTTACATCCTTTCAATTAAACCTTTATTTATTCTCACCCACAAACCTGATTAGAGATATTGTTACAATCTGTTCCATGTACACCATGCATAGATAAAAGTTCCTCTTCTGTTTTCTGAGCAGTCTATCCATAGCAGCACTGGAGCCTTAATCAGTTTTCTGCATTTCATCTGAAAGTTATATAGTTACAAGTATTCTACACAAACCATATTATTGTTTGGGCCATTGGTCATTCAGGTGTGATATCTGATATGTGTAAGAATGCTTTTTCCTTTCTCTCTATTGGGATATCTTCCCAGAATATGTCAAATGATGAGAGCCCTTAATCCAACCCTGCCAATTACATCTTCAATGTCTAGTCAATTCTATATTGTCATACCATTTTCAGGGCCCATCTGAGCAAAGGAATCAGATATGGCTGTAGTTTTTCTTTTCATGTAATACTCCATAACCTACAAAATGAAGGAAAACTAGAAGCTTATTATATTCCATGATGTCACTCTGCATGTAGATTTGCATATCTGCAGTAGGATTGGAATGTGTACCAATACAATGGTGCTGTAATAACATTTTTAAGTGTCTAAATATCCAAGGAAACTTATAAAGAAGGGCATTGCATATAAGATACTTCTAATAAACATTCTTAAGTAGATATTACTATTAATGTATTTTATGAGGAAAAACTTGCTGTTTAATCTACTGTCCAGAAGAACCTTTATGATAAGTTGTAAGAAGTAGTCATGTAAATGATTCTTTTCCTTATTTATCAGTGTTCTTTTAAATGTACTCAGATAACTATGGTAAAGTGTTAAAATGTTCTTGCATAAATTGTCATTCTAATTGTGAGTTAGCAGAGATTATTCATTGTAAGAGTACGGTTATGTTAATCTATTGCAGCAAAAAAATCAGGAGTCATCTGACTGGATCTTTCCGACTAACATATCTTATTAAAAGGCATAATCTTTCACAAGTTACAGCTTACTTCATCAGCTACCTACTTTGCCCCAACATCTATTCTCCACCAAAGGCAATGTTACAAACCCTTGTGTAATCTGTATCCACATAACCAAGCTATCCTTACCTCCACCTCACTCCAATTTAAATCAGTCCATCCACTATTTGCATCTGATAAAATTCTGCTCCTGGATGCTTATACAGATGGTATTTGTTTAACAACCAATCCATCTAACTTTCAAACTTGTAACAGCACTGAAGGAGTGGTAGTTATGATCAGTTCTTGAACAATCACAGCACTTTTGCAGTCAGTTACATGATTGTGATTTTTGATTCTCGGTGTCCCATGGTCAAATGATTACCATTTGCAACCTTCCCTGTTGGATTCCCACAATGGAGTCAAGGGAGAAACCTTCAAGAAATCAGAAGTTGTGATTATGTGAGGTCCTTACTTAATGATCTGCATGACCTTTGCTTAACAATGATAACTAGGAACTGCTATCATAAAGTGGGGCAATCACATCGCACTTTATGACATTACTTTATGACCACATGACTTAACTATCAAGATTACAGTCCAATTACTATTTGTACCGTTTAATAAAATCTGTTAGTTGGAAAATATATATTACCAGGCTCCTTCAGATTGTTATTGTATAATCCTAATCATTATTTCCAATTAGAAACTGAAAACATGTAACTTTATATAACTTTTTACCTTTTTTAGATATTTTATTTAAAAAGGTGGTAATATAGATTTTTTGATGGAAAACAAACTACTTGCTTTCCATCTTAATGAATGAGAAAATAACCATCAGTATTACTTTTTTTTCTTTCTTCATAGATATATTGTAAATAAAAATGAAATCAGTGACTACTTATGGTTTGCTTGTTGAATGTTTTTGGTTTGCTCTGTTTTGTGGATCTGCTACACATTTATTGGCTGATAGGTAAGTAACCTGAAATGAAAACTCTAAAGACAATGGCATTTAATTTTACAAGAAGTCCTGAAAATGTTTATCCAGTAACCAAACAGATCCCTAACACTTATAACCTCCAGATAGTTTGTCCATTTGTGAAAATTAGTTCTCCTTTCCCTCTGCCTTTTTCTTAAATGTAGTTTGGGGATTTATCAATCTTCCATTGTAATTTTTTGACACGGAAGAAGGTATCTTCCTGTTCGACTAATGGAATTAATTCTTTTGACAGGAATTAACTGGTAACAGTTCTGTAATTATGCCTGCTATTTCAACTAAGTATGTCTGCATCATGAGCTTAGGAAAAGATTAAAGTTAGCTCCTATACTGCAGGATCAGAAAGCAAGATTTATTGGCAAAAGAAAAATAATAATAAAATGTTAAAACCCTGAAGACAGTAAAACAGTTTACACCTCTATCAGGCTCATCAAATGAACCTGGAACTATATCTACAACACAATTGGCTGATCAGACTTTATAGCACTAAACTAATATGTTCTTAGCTATGCTAGTTAGATGCTAGAGTTCAACAATATATGAAGGCTATATGTTTTCTATTCCTAATTTTCAAGAGGCCTTGAAGGAGGAAATAATTGCTCTTTGTGGTTAAAACAATTGGCTGTAAACTAAAACATACTCAATATGCATCCAGGTTACATTTTCTGATACATTGCTCAGGGATGCCCCAATAAGGGTATTTTTAATTGTATAATAGATTATTATTAAAATTGTTTAACACTATAGAGCAAATACCATTATACTTTGTTTACAAGTACAGTATTAATTTCACCAAAAACTATCAGCACCGAAGATCCTATAATTATTGTTTTATGAATAAGGCTCATGTAGAATTGAAAACTGTGTTTATTGAATTGCATTATGTTTTTTCCATCATAAAATGAAATACTTCAGGTTTTTTTCAGTATGAATATAACAATAAATGGTTGTGACATGATCTAAGAAAATCAGTCTGTAATCATATAACATGATAATTCACTGTGCAGTTTTCTTAATCTCAGTTTTATTAACAAACTACAGTATCATAATTCATACAACATGAAAACAATTAAACATGGTTCATAAGACACTACAGAGGATTTACCTACAAGCTAAGCCAAAGGTAAATATATAATGTCAAACTCATTATGACTTAGCATATTGAGTAAATTCAATTCTATTGATCCATATATCCATATCCATCTTCATCAGTATCTTTGTGGTTTCCACTGTAAAAGTTGACATTGTTGGAAACTGCATATGAAGAGATATATAATTAGTCCTTGATTTACAACTATTCTTTTAACAATTGTTCAAAATTATGCCGGCACTGAAAAAAATGACTTACACCCAGTTCTCAAACTTATAACTGTCATATGATCCCTGTGGCATGTGATCAGAATTAGGCTACTTGACCACTGGCATGTATTTACAACAGTTGTTGTGTTCTGGGTCACGTGATCATGATTTACAACCTTCCCAGAGGGCTTTTGACAAGCAAAGTCAATTGGGGGAGGAGCTGGATTCACTTAATGACCATGTCATTCACTTAATGGCCATGGTGATTCCCTTATGAACAGAGCAATAAAGGTTCTAAAAGTGAGCACAACTCACTTAAATACTGCATTGCGTAGCAACAATTCCGGTCATAAATCAAAGACTATCTGTTAATCATCTCATATTTTCAGCAGTGTAAGCACTTATAATCAAAATGAACTTCATTTTATTCATGATTTTTGTCACTGAATAGATATAACTACATTATGGGGAAGCAAACTCCCCACCCACAATGCTCTGTAAGGTTATATGTACTCTTCTAACGAATATTTGCTAAAACTTACAGTGTTTATATTTTCTGTTATTCCATGATATGTTTTAATGAGAATTTGTTTAATAAGCCAGAATAAGACAAATAAAACAAAGTAATCAAATTCTGTCTATTTTCTTCCAACTGGCAGTATCCAACTAACCTGCCCAGGTTTTTAGGAATGGGGCTACTATGTTAGGAAAATTTAGGATTTTGGTGAGAAACGTATGTTTAAGTTGCCTTGTGATTGGGGGGAGGGAGGAAAATAAAGTTTGTCTGCATTTCTACTGAGCACAACTAGCTTGTCATATGTAAACTAATACCAGTATGTTATAATACTTTATGTGATTTGGCTTTTAAAAGTCATAGCACCACTGTTGTCTTGTACTCTGAGATTAATGCAATTTAAAATACTATTGCCAGAAAGAGTTTAGTAGTTTGGAGAGAAATTGTTGGGTTTCTGTATTTTATGTTACACATCAAAGGTTAGGACAGATTATAGAAACAAAAAGGAATGGAGTATATCAGTATTTTGGATTCAGACAAAAGCCATTATTTAAATAAGCCAGTCATTGTAAACCAATTTGAAATAAAACTTTAATTTGAACTGTATTGCCAAACGCCACAGTTTGTAGTTAACTTCATAATTTACAGTTATGCAAAAAAAAAAAACCCTTGATAAAGCATTATATGTGAACTATACCAGGAAAAATGCAGGGGTAGTTTGTTACTAATGAAATGTTATGCCTTTGGAATGTTAAGTATTTTTTTAAAAAAAATCATTTGAATTTATGTCAATTCGTGTACATTTAAAATGACAATAAAATTCTAAGTCTAAGTCTAAATATTTTATGTTTCAGTATTGTGTTTCATAAGTGGGAAAAATTATACTTAGTTCATCATTGGCCGGTGACTGTATGCATGGTAAGATCTTCTTAAATCAATGTAGTTATTTTGCTATCTGTATGTTATACCTATATTAAAATATGTATTTTGCTGTATCCTGAAAAGGGTGCAAGAGTGGGAAGTATTACTGAGATCTTAAACATTTAGCTACTGCACATGACTAAAAGATCTACGTTCAACTATGAGAAATTGTTCTGAATTGTCAAATAATTTAAAAATAAGACTATGCAAAGAAGGAAATGTTTAAAAGAATTATTTTAAGGTATTATTTATTAAAGCTAGATGCCACTTTTTCTCAATTTCAAGGTCACATGTACACCTTTAAATAATAGTTTCCTGTCACTGACTTACATAAATTCAAAAAGGATTATCACAGTGAAGTAATGTGAGAAGAGCAGGATCTCAGAATACCATCTTCTGAAGTTGGAGAAAATGTGTCCTGTTTTCTGTTTTTATTTCAGTTGTTTGACATAAGAAAAAGCAATGTCCTAATACTATAGCACAAACAATGTTACATTTATTATTATAAAAGTAATAATGGTAATGTGTCTATAAGAAGGGATCACATAATATTAATAATAGTCACATTAATATTTTTATAGCATATCAGATTCTTAGATATTATACAAATCATAAAAAGAAACCTAATAAAACCTATCCCCATATCAGCATAATAAACCTCCTAAAAACTCATAAAGCTAGAAACAGCAGCAGGCTAGCCACCATTATTCTTTCAAATCCATCTTTTAGTGCTACACATGAAAGCAGATTGTTCACAGATATAATCAAAACAAAACTTAACAGTAAATCCATACAACTCCTTTACTATGCTCCCATTCCAGAGCCAGCAGGAAATCATCCAGCCTAAAATCTTACTAACCCCAAGAACATCCTTACTGCAATCCCAGAAAGGTCCATATTACACTGGTGTCCATACAGGTGTAATGCACATAAGTCAAAGGCCGTGATTTGTGATTCCCTTGGCTGAAATTCCAGGTCTACAAATATCATCTTACTACATGACAGCTTCCTTAGTTAGTACACAAGATGCAGTTTACTGTAGTGATTTAAGGTACCAGACTAGAAATTGGGAGGTTGTCAGTTCTAGTCCCGTCTTGGGTACAAAGCGAGCAAGGTGACCTTAGGCCAATCACTTTCTCTCAGCCCTAGGAATAAGGCAGTTACAAACTCCTGAAATTTTGCCAAGAAAAATGCAATTGCCAGGACTCAAAACTGATTTGAAAACACACACGTGTGGCTGCATATGAACAATGTGCATGTGTATGTGTGTATATGAACAGTTTGTGTGTACGGTATTGAAATCCCACCCCACTTTTCACTGCTGTTATAGTGTTGACCAATTTAATTCTTTTTATTCCTTATAACTTTGGGTAAACCCAGTTGACTGTTTGATCTATAGACCACAAAGCAATACCAGAAAATTAGTTTTTAATATCTTGATTGCCATGTAGTGGTTTTCTGGATTTCCAATGGGTAGGAAATTTTCATACCATCAGGTGACAGAAGCGTAGCAGCTGAGTCCTTTTAGTTATGTTTTCAACTACACCTGTTAAGCCCTGGACAGATTCGTCCATTTCAGGGTTTTATTAATTCAATCTATATAGGAAAAGGAAAAAGGGGACCCAGAAGTTGCAATCTCTGTCACCTTTGCAGCTAAATCCATACTGCAGAATAGGCACTGAGCACAGCCAGTATTTGGAAGGAAGTGGTCCTAAAACAGAGCTACCAGATAAGTTGGATCTGAGCAGATTGCCACTACTTGCTAAATCACTTTATGCTACCTCCTTGGGTTATCTGGATGGAAGTTCTTGAGCTGAGACTCAGGATTTAAGCCATCTTTCGATTTCTTCAGTTGTGTGTTGACAAGATATGGCTACTGGCCTGAAGACATATCTACTAGAAATAATGGGGCATCTTGTGGAATGTCTGCAGATGCAGACTATAGTTACATTCAGTTAATAAATTTATTGTTTGTGCAGAGTGCACCTTCATTTTTTTCTTGTAGCTTTTGAAATGAGCAGTCTAACAATCTTTCAAATTACCTCTTTCTTAGGAAAGTCTAGTGTTTAGGTTCAAACAAATCCATCTATAAATGAAACCATGCTCCTACTTATTTTATTGGTGGGTGAAATAAAAAAAACAAGGGAAAATTCTGTCATCTTAGATTAGGAAGTTAAGATTCAGTCATCTTGCGTCTTCTTTTGCTTTTGCTATAAGATATGAAGCAATTTTTAAAATATAAGTGAACTTCAGGTGAGCAGAAAATACATCTTGGGGATTGCTAATATTAAGAGCTGAAACACTTACTGAGTATTTCATGGGAATTTGCTAGAATCTCCATTATAAAGATACATATAACAACTAACCTAATACAAAAGCTGGAATCAAAGTAGAGTCTTTATATTCTTTTGGAATAGAACTTGTGCTGTACTTTAACATTTGCCCTGCTGTATCGTTTAGCACTGATAGACATTGAGATACCCAACACCTACAAGGTACCGTGTGTTAATATTGGTTACACTGTAGAAAAGCCAAGCTAATATCTCCATTTACTGGCTATTGTGAGCAAATCTTTTCCATTAGACTTTTTGTGAAGCTAAATGCCATTGCTTCATAGCTGCTTCTCTGAACTGTACTGTTGATCAGAAATAGCATGAAGATTTTCTGCTTTTAAGTGTCAAGGACTGAACTCTTGAAAGCAGTGAATTTTTCCACTTATTTCTACTGCAAAATTGGCTGAATTCCCGCTCTTCTCTTGCCAAGATAAATGTAACACTTGACTGCAAATGGATTTGAGTTTGTTTTTAATGAAGGGTATTCTGCTAGTTCAATGAAATATTGGTGAATACATAAAACAGCATTTTATGACTCATATTTAAAGTAGCCTGACAAAATGTTTTAGGGAAAAAAACAGTTGTGATACAATTTACAACTTTACACTTTTTTTAATCATATGAAAAATTGCCTGCCAGAGGGTTTTGTAAAGCAAGTACTACTTTTTATAACACTCTACAATTCTAACATGGGAGTATTATCTTCCTTAAAGTCAGGTAACTGAATTATTCACTTTTAAACCATAATTTTTACTTAAATATTGCCATATGCTGAGCAAATGAAATCATAATGCAAAAGTAGGCTTTTGGTAGCTAGGTGGTGCACTGAATTCTCTGAACGGTAGGGGCTTCAAGAGATGGAAAGATGGAGTTGAAAAATTCTGGAAGAGGCAGGAAGGTCAGAATTTTCTGTTTGGTTTTTTTTTTTAATGACATCTTTTTTTCTATACTTGACCTAGATGGGGTTCTAATCCTCTCCTCCCCACCAAAATGGTTTCAACCTACATGTTCTCCATATCTGGATTTCAATTAATAGCAATAGCACTTAGATTTATATACTGCTTTATAGTGCTTTACAGCCCTCTCTAAGTGGTTTACAGAGTCAGCATATTGCCCTCAACAATCTGCGTCCTCATTTTACCGACCTTGGAAGGATGGAAGGCTGAGTCAGCCTTGAGCCTGATGACATTCGATCTGCAAAACTGCAGGCAGCCTATAGTCAGCAGAAGGTGTCTGCAATACTGCATTCTAACCACTGTTCCACTGAGGCTCTTATGTGATAGTTCTCACATAAGAGCCAGCGACAGCCATTTTTTAAAATAGGAAAGCATTTATATTCAGGAAAGAACTTTTTAAAATAAATTTATTAATTTCATAGAAAAAAAGATACAATTTCAAAGCACTTATTTGCTGCATCTGTATGTTATATCAGAAAGTTTTGCATAGCTAGCAGCCAATATTAACAAAATAAAAAGCAAACATTTCAAAACTAAAAATTATCTTTCCAATATTATAAACAAAATTGACAATTTCAAAATAATGTGAAAGTATTCAGAGACATTCGGAGATTAAGCTGAATCAGACCCTATTTTTCCCATTCTGCATAAAAAATGTTTTCCTTTAATAACCCATTATTTTCTCTAGATGAATGAAAATGAATGCAAAGATCCACCAATGTACTGGACAATCCATGGACTCTGGTAAGATATAAATTTGGAAGAAAAAAATCTTGAATTGCTAATTTTAAGAGGTTGGTTCTTTCTAAGCTCTTAGTATCTTATACTTTAAATATTCTGGTCTGATGCCCATAGAAGGTGAAAAATTTTATTATATGATAAATGATTTTTTATAAAGGATTTGTTATTATAAATAATCTGTGGTAATCCATGAATCAAAATACTTATATGATAATACCAGGATTTCTAGGTAAATTAAATTTTAATATTTCTTTCATATTTATAAATAGTTTGATTTATTCACTGGAATTTGTCTGTCTCCTAAGAAAAGAAGTTCTAGAATCACTAATCATACATCTCTATGCTAAATTGCCATGAGATTTACATTATATAACTTTTTTTCCATGTTCTCTATTTTTTTAACTTTTATAATATCAAACAAGGCAGTACATACTATATTATCTGTCCTTAACCCTCCTCAAGATAACCTTGCAATGTCTCCCATTTTACAAGATACGTGTTAGAGAAGGAGAAGGCATTCCACTACTATTCAGAACAGTGGTTTTCATCCTTTGCACTCTTTTGTTCTGCTTCTTCCCCAGGCCTGATAAAGCTTCAGAATGTAATAGAAGTTGGCACTTCAATATATCTGAGCTTAAGGTATGAATCAGATAAATTATAGGTACTGAGTACTTGAAGAAAAACTATAATAATAATTAAGTCAAGAATTTGACTGGACTCAGAAAAGCTTTAGGGTGTTCTGCCAAAGCAGTTTTATTTATTAATACACTTCAATAAGTGAACGTTTATTACCAAACCAGGCACTAGAGAAAGAGGATGATAGGTTTCATTCTTGAGTCCCTTTTTAAATAATTTGTAGAGTTGCCTATAAAGTCAAATATTATCATAATACACATTATAGCAAGGAAGATAAAGCAGGAATGGTTAAATTGATTGCTTTATTTAAAGAGGAGAATATGTTCTTATATGTTCTTATTTGGATACTTCTGGAATTTGTGCTTGTGAAGAAGAAAAAATGAAACTTTGACCTTGATTTTGTTGATTATAAAGATTTGGTGTTATAGAATGGCTAGTTATATATTAATGTGTAAAGCATAAAAGTTGAGGTTGGAATGTGTTTATCTTGTACTGTGCCAGGAAGAGTTGGAAGTCAATACGCCCTTTTCTTTCTTTTTCTCTTCCCCCTTATATCTCACACACCCCTTTCTTTCGCCATTCCCTTTCTCTCCCTTAATTTCCTATTTTCTTTTCTTCTTTGTATTTTATATAATAAAAATAAAAATGACAAGTATTTAAAATAATAATAACATGTTATCAAAAGCTGTTATGTGAAGTATTTTATAGATACGAGGCTATTTTATACAGCCAGTTGGATGTAATGGTTAAAGTGCTGGTCTAAAAATCAAGAGATTATGAGTTCTAGTCCTGCTTTACACATGAAAGTGGGGCAGTCACACTCTTTCATTCCAGCTCACCTCATAGGGCTGTTGCGGGGAAAAGGTTGTGTTTTCCATCTTCAATTATTTATAAAGTAATGAAGGGATCAAAATCTAATAAAATAAAATACTCAGTGAGGAAATCTAGGTGAAGTTTGAAACATATACTTGCTTTTTAATTTTATAGGATTTTTTATATTGCTAGGATTTAATGGAAGACATGAAAGAATATTGGCCAGATATACTACATACAAACCATACTTATTTCTGGTGAGTTGTATCACATTTAACCCTACTGTTAGCTTTGCAAAATTTTAGTTGTCTTTCTAAATGAAAAATCCTAGGTAACAATAGGAGTCAGATATGCAGATAATGCAAACTGGATTTCTGACAATTACTTTGTTTCAACATTAATGCTTTCTCAAATAATATACTGTATTTAGGCATATATGGTATTTTTGTCTCTCACAGGAGTTTAACAGTAGAATTCAGTTTTAATGTTTTCAGTCAAACTCTTCTTTAAGAACATTCAGTTAAAGGTTTTTGGCCTAATTATGTCCTGTTATATTATTTTGTAAAATATCCAGTACATTGATCATTAAAATAAACCCATTAAAGCTTGTATTATGTACAATAAACCATACTGTGAGTACTTTGCCTTCAATTCCATACAGCTACTTTGGAGCATGACGAATACTATCTTGGCACATTAACATAGCTATATCTTTAACTAGGATTATAAATTGCCCTTTGCAGCTATGTACAATTCCAGAAAAAGATACAACTCATATGTTTTAGAGAAAGGTTCTATGCTCATATTCCCATACTCTTCAAAGCAACTTTTTGGAAACAAATCTGAATCTTTTCAGAGATCTAGTATGTAATATCCATTGATTCCCAGCAAAGAAAGGTAAAAGCTTCCCAAGTCAAACCTGATTTTAGGAGACTACATGAACATACAGGTGAAACTCGAAAAATTAGAATATCATGCAAACGTTCGTTTATTTCAGTAATGCAACTTAAAAGTGAAACTAATATACGAGATAGATTCATTACATGCAAAGCAAGAGAGTTCAAGCCGTGATTTGTCATAATTGAGATGATTATGGCTTACAGCTCATGAAAACCCCAAATCCACAATCTCAGAAAATTAGAATATTGTGAAGAGGTTCAATATTCTAGGCTCAAAGTGTCCCACTTTAATCAGCTAACTAAGCCATAATACCTGCAAAGGGTTCCTGAACCTTTAAATGGTCTCTCAGTCAGGTTCAGTAGGAATCACAATCATGGGAAAGACTGCTGACCTGACAGTTGTGCAGGAAACCATCATTGACACTCTCCATAAGGAGGGAAACCCTCAAAAGGTAATTGCAAATGAAGTTGGATGTTCCCAAAGTGCTGTATCAAAACACATTAATAGAAAGTTACGTGGAAGAGAAAAGTGTGGAAGAAAAAGGTGCACAAGGAGCAGGGATGGCCACAACTTGCAGAGGATTGTCAGGAAAAGGCCATTCAAAAGTGTTGGGGACTTTCACAAGGAGTGGACTGGGGCTGGAGTCAGTGCATCAAGAGCCACCACACACAGACGGATCTTGGACATGGGCTTCAAATGTTGTATTCCTCTTGTCAAGCCACTCCTGAACAACAAACATCACAAGCATCTTACCTGGGCTGAAGAAAAACAGAATTGGCCTGTTGCTCAGTGGTCCAAAGTCCCCTTTTCTGATGAGAGCAACTTTTGCATCTCATTTGGAAACCAAGGACCCAGAGTATGGAGGAAGAATGGTGAGGCACACACTGCAAGATGCTTGAAGTCCAGTGTGAAGTTTCCACAGTCTGTGTTGATTTGGGGACCCATGTCATCTGCTGGTATTTGTCCACTGTGCTTCATTAAGTCCAGGGTCAATGCAGCCGTCTACCAGGAGATTTTGGAGCACTTCATGCTTCCTTCCACAGACGAGCTTTAGGGGGATGCTGACTTCATTTTCCAGCAGGATTTGGCACCTGTCCACACTGCCAAAAGCACCAAAACCTGGTTCAATGACCGTGGGATTACTGTGCTTGATTGGCCAGCAAACTCGCCTGACCTGAACCCCATCGAGAATCTATGGGGCATTGCCAAGAGAAAGATGAGAGACATGAGACCGAACAATGCAGAAGAGCTGAAGGCCGCTGTTGAAGCATCCTGGTCTTCCATAACACCTCAGCAGTGCCACAGGCTGATAGCTTCCATGCCATGCCGCATTGAGGCAGTAATTGCTGTAAAAGGGGCCCAAACCAAGTACTGAGTACATATGCATGCTTATACGTTTCAGAGGTTCGATATTGTTCTCTGTACAATCCTTGTTTTATTGATTGAATGTAATATTCTAATTTTCTGAGAGTGTGGATTTGGGGTTTTCATGAGCTGTAAACCATCATCCTCACAATTACGACAAATCACAGCTTGAACTATCTTGCTTTGCATGTAATGAGTCTATCCCATATATTAGTTTCACCTTTTAAGTTGCATTACTGAAATAAATGAATTTTTGCACGATATTCTAATTTTTGGAGTTTCACCTGTAGCTTTTCTGTTTAAAATAGAAATATAACAAAAGCCCAATCTAGGCATTAAAGGAAAATGAGTTAATACTTTATTATATTCTCCCTACTATACAAAAATCACCCCAGACTGCTTGCCTTTTCATGGGAACAGATAAATAAGGTTCTATGGAGCTTAAAGTGGAGGGGGGGTTATCTCTTGCACCTGTGCAGCAATTCAAGGCTAATCCACCACTAAGACTGCCTGGCTAGGCATTTCCTAACAATATCTAGCCTATTAGTATGTATCTCTTTAAAGAGCCATAACTTTCCCAAATCAGAGTCACTATAGAGTATAGTCACATAATCCCTGGAGCACGTGCTTTATTGAATACAGGAGTGTAAACATGACATCTATTTCCAATTTACTGAAGCTGGTTTAAACACTGCAAACAAGTACTATATTCATAAACCACAAAGCTCATTTTGCAAATTATTTCTGAAATACTACCGAGCCCTAACATGAAATAACAATTAATCTATTTATTTTTTTGAGAAATGGCTGTTTGTTTCTTATCCTCATTTATACAGCTGCATATCTTTCAATTGCAACTAAGTAATTATTTAAATATTATTTGTTTATGGAACATGCACACTATCTTAGTTTGAGTGGATTCTAAGCATTTGCAAGTAACCACATTGCAGCAATATAGCCCATATGCAGGGCAAATTCAATTCCACATTGGCAATAACCACAATACTATAAAGCAGAAATATATGAACGCAGCATTGAAATTGAGGAATGATGAATGAAAAATGCAGACTACATTATAAGATGCCATATATTTTTCTTAATACAGCCCATCAGAAAAAAAAGAATGCTTTAAAACATGAACATATAAAGTTTTTTGTCTTCTTTTTTATACTAGAATTGCTTCTATTTTTCTGATTTGTAACCGTGATGGGAAGTTTCAGTACTGACATTTTTTTAGTGAAAAAACATATTCAGCAATTAACCTTTGTTATTTATTCTGTGTGTGTGTGTCAAGTTGGTAGCAATGTCCTTGATATGCCACAAAATGAATATTTGTTAGGTACAAGGACAAGATTATTTTCTTTTCATTTGACAAAATAAAAACAAAAGATAGCTTTTCTTTACACTTTGTGGTTTCCATAGTTTCCAATTCCACATGAAACATGACTTCAGCATGTCTTTTCTCAAGTGCTAAGTTTTCTTGCTTTTGAAAAGCAAATTTAGAAGACTTCGAACTATTTCAGGTGTCTTAACCATCACACCTTCACTTCTCTTGTCATTTAACTTAAATTATTCATAAAAAAATTCTTTTCTCAGCAGAAAAAGACCTTCTACCCAAGAGACTTTTTATATACAAATATTTTCTATATACTAAGGAGATAATTTTATATATATGTGTCACAGGAGTTTGTGAAATACACATTGTACCAATTTAGAGAAGGGATGTCAAACTCAATTTCGTTGAGGGTTGCATCATGGTTGTATTTGACCTTGGGGGTGGGGGGCTGGGGTGGTGTGGGCAGGATGGTCATAGCGAACTCTTGACATCACTTATGTCAGGGGTACCTGTGGTGGCCCAGGCGGGGCTGTGGGGGATCCATTGTCTCCAGCGGAGGAAGGTGAGACCAGGGAGAGTGCCAAACCCTTGTCCCCAGTGCCAAGCCTGGCCTTCTGCTGGTGGTCAAGTGCTAAGGCAAGACTTTCCTTCCTTCTGCCCTTTCCTTCTCCTTTCTTCTTCCTTCCCTTCTTTCCTTCTTTTTCCTTCCTTGCTTTCTTCCCATCTGTGGTGGTCTGGCACTTGAAATGAGACGCAGGGAAACGTCTGAGCAAATGCCAGCCCCGAGTAAACTCAGGTAGCAGTATTTATTAAGAAAGAAATCAAAAGTACAGAATCAATAACAAATGACCTCAACCGAATGAGAATATGCAGCTGTGGAAAGTCCCATGAGAATATACAGGCACGAAAGGTCCCATGGGAATGGCTCGGCTGCGTATCATGAACTTTCACCTATATTCCTGGTCCCTCTAAGCTTTGCAGATCAAAACAGGATGAAACACCCATTGCAAAGGCAATACTGCCCCCACCAGGAGTGTTTGCAAACCCTAGATCTATGCAAAATAGCTGTACAAAGGATTTACAGAAAATGATGAATAAGATATATTACCACATTCCCCCCTTTTTTATTTATTCAAAGATGGGGGGTGTTTTAGTGGCATAGTACACAGTTCCCTCGCGACTTGGTCCCATTCGCTGAAAGGCTGAGGTACACATTTGAAATAGATTAGGAATACATTGAATACAGCAACATAACATAATAAGTATAACAACAATTATCACAACTAATTGAAGCAATAAATGTAACCATGAGCTGTCAGGAAGCCAATCCCATAGCAAAGCCCAAAGTGACTTATTGAAGCCATCTTTTCCTGCTTCATGTTCAGCTATGCGGTCTTCCATATCATGAACAGTTCTTGTAATGTTAGGCTCATAATTATGTATAAAAACACAACAATGTGAATGAATTAAGGCACAAACTCCTCCTTTTGGCAGCTAACATTATGTCTAAAGCATAACGATTTTGTAAAGTAACTTGGCGAATTTCAGACACTTCTTCATTCAACATCTTAATGCTTCTAATAGTATCATTAAACATAGCAACAGTAAAATTATTTAAAATATGAATATCTCTATAGTTCATAGCTATTCCCAAAGGTGGGATTGCTGCCCTAGAAATCTGAGTCCACAAATTACCACCCACAGTCAGGCCAGAATCAACTTCTCGATTACGAATACGCATCCCAATCGGTAAACTCTCCAATTTATAGATGACAGGAATTACAAAACCTATAGTACATACTCCAGACCAATTCTTTGGCCACTGTTGATAGGCATCATCCCCACATAACAACCATAACCCATCCGGAAGGGGGAAGTATTTTAAATGCTTATGATAGGTATTGTCGGAGGCCTGACTTTCCCACTTCCACATTAGCCACATCCAATTACAGAGAACATATGCCCCGTTACCAATATCAGGCCTCTTAGTGACTGTCTGATTTATACAACAGTCAAGGGATTCTTTCAAAGCCTGGGATAACATAGAAGACATCCGATTTATGCAGCTGTTCTTGCTAGTAATGCTTTTTACACATTTCATACATCCTCCTTCCAAAGGAAACACCTTCTGACAAAGAGTACTATTACCTAAGAAAACAGATTGATTATTTCCTACGGGAGGACGATAATAACAAACTGAGGCTTTGGTAGTGAAAGTTACCTTTGTTGTGAATAATGTTTGATCCCACTTTTCGGGGTCTGGGCCCCAGTGAAGCCAGTGATTAAAGTTATTATAAGTACTTAATTCAGTACTGGTTCGCTCATTCAAAGGAACACCATGTAACAAAACTCCACCTTTCCCAGACCCAGGTACATGCATACAAAGCCAACAATTAGTTACATTTAAACCCTTAGCCGCAATCCGAATGTCCTTGATGTAGGAATTTTCTTTCCATAAATTATCTCCGAGGTCTCTAGTTTCTGAGATAATAGCAGCTCTTTGCCTCCGTATTGGAGTCCGTGGAGGCATAAGACGAATGGAAAGAGAGGCTGTATAAGGTAACTTAGGCAACTCCAATTGACACCGATATTGTCCATAGTCTGAAACAGAAACATTAAACAGGATCAGAGTTGTTGCACAGGCTGAAGATATAATATCCTTATCAGGTCCCGAGTAAAGAATGTCTTGATCCTTACGCCAGGACCAATATGCTGAATTGCAGATCAATTTAGTCCGATTCCCCAGAGGAACCTGCTGCATACAAGTTGGTAATCTCAGATAAGCAGTCATCTTTTCCCAGCCTTCACAACGCCGCGCCTGGACTGCCGGCATCAAGAGAATCAGGAACCACAGGTACGGAATCAGGAACCACAGAAATGCCATCCTGCTCCTCCGAAACCTCCTTCACTGGTGCCTGTGAAGGCGCCTGCGAATGATCAGGCCGAACGCACCGACCAGGAACCCAACGAATTTGACCAAGATGTTCGACTGCTGCATAACCACGTCCCCACGTAATCAGCTCAGCGGGAACCCATGCCGGATCCGGAAGGAAACGCACCAACACTCGAGGCCTCACTGCATCTGTAGAAGGAGAAGAAAAATGCCTGCTGGCCGCACTCGCAGGGGGGTTACCAGACAAATTTAAAAAATTTAAAGTATATAAAGCTAGATTCAAATGATCTTGAATTGCCGGAAGTCCCAGGAGCTTCCCTCCTTTTTTATTTAATTTAGCTAACATGTTCTTGAGCGTGCCATTATGACGCTCCACAATAGCCTGTCCTGTGGAATTGTATGGAATTCCAAATTTATGTTCCACGGACCACTGTTTGCAAAACTGATCAAAGACTGTGCTCCGATAAGCCGCACCATTGTCTGTTTTTAAAGTTTGAGGCGTACCAGCAACTGAAAATGTCTTAATGCAATGATTAATGACATGTTTAACCACCTCACCCCTTTGAGGGGTAGCCATTAGAAATCCTGAATAAGTATCCACAGTCACATGTATATACTTCCAGGGTGCAAATGATGGATATTGAGTAAAATCCATTTGCCAAATCATTGAAGGTTTCAACCCCCTGGGGTTGACTCCCATAGGGATAGCCGTGCCCTGCTTTGAACAAGTTGGACATTGTTGAATTATAGCAGCAGCTTCTGCAGCAGTAAGTTTAAATTGGGATGCCAACGCTTTAGCGTTTTGATGAAAATAACTATGGCTGTCCCATGGCTGGACAGTGAGAACTGAAGTTACAGCACTGTCAGCTTTGGCATTACCTTGTGATAAAATTCCAGGCAAATTACTATGACTACGAATGTGGGCAACAAAACACACATTCACACGCTGCTCCAAACATCCTTGCAACAACAAAAGCAATCGTAGAATATTGGGTGATATTCCAGGAGACAAATAAGAACCTGCTACAAAGGGTAACAAATTATACACATACAAAGAATCCACTATTAGATTGAAATCCTGATTTTGAAAATTTTGAAAAGCCAAAACTACAGCAGCAAGTTCTGCCTGCTGGGCAGACTTCTGCTCTGATGTCACTTTTGTATGCCAAATTCCAGATTTATCTTTCCAAACACAAACACCAAAAACTTTCCCTCCATCAGTAAAGACTGTAGGAGCATCTGATATAGGCTGAGTACTGATTTAGGTCACACCCTGTCCCATTAATCTCTTGTTTTGCTGACTTTGACCCCCTCCAGGAGCCCGACATTGCGCTTTAAAATGTCCAGGCTTCCCACAATTGAAACAAGTTCCTTTTTTAGCATTTCCTGCCTGCAGAGCCAGAGCTAAAGTCTCCATGTTAAAAGACTGACTCCCAACCTTCCTACATGCATTAATCAAATCTGCGATCTCTCGCTCTCCACTTGCTACAAGTGGATTCAAGATCTTTTTACAATCTGCGTTAGCTTGTTCTACTGCTAACTTCAAAAGCAATTCGTTCCGGGCGAATTGATTGTCAATTTGTCTTTCAATAGCCACTTTCAATCTGCTAATGAAATTTTCATAGGGTTCATTGTTCCCTTGTTTGATGTTAGTAAAGGTCTTCTCACCACCTTCGCCGTCAGGGAGAGCCCCCATGGCTTGAAAAATTAACTGTGGGAGAAGAACGAACCCCTCCTCAGGCATTCCATCTCTCTGTTGTTCTACTGTTGTAAAATTACCAGCTCCGTAAAGCTGATCTGGGGTAACATTTGCTGTTCCCCTCTGAACTGCCAGCTGTCTCCATTTCTGATCTAACACCAAATATTGAGCTGGAGTTAAAATCATATTCAGCAGAGCTCTCCAGTCAGCCGGAATCATTTTATTTCCATAACCAACTGCTTCTAACAATGCCTGAGTATATGGCGATCTAACACCATACTCTTTTGCTGCTTGCTTAACTTCCTTTAAAACTCTGAGAGGTAAAGGCTTCCACTCCCGCTGCGGATTTAATGCAGCGTCCATGCCAATTTCTACTGGATTAAGTTGAATCTCTACTCCAAATTCCACCAAATCATCTCCTGATAATTCCCCTCTATTTTTTGCTTCTTGAATAGCTGCAGTAACTGCATCCACTTGAACTCTTAAAGGCAAACTCTTATCTTCTGACAAAGTATTTTCAGCGCCTGACAGTCCTCTGGATTTATCTGGAGGTGCTGTCAACGGCAATAAACGTACCGCATGGTAAGGCGGCAAACCTTCTTCGGGGGGTGCTAGGAGCGGTTGTTCATGAGTAGCTAACGCATCCATAACCACCCTCCAGGTTAACAAAATTGAAGAAGGGGCACGAGGTTCTTCGTGCAAAAATTTCCCTATCTTTTTCCAGGACGCTACTTTAATACTACCTCCCTCTGGATATGACTGAATATGTTTCCAAACATACTGTAATAAGTCCTCAATTTCTTTCTTTCCTATGGCATGTCCTCTACTATGAACTCCAAAACCAAAACTATTCCCTATGATCCCTCTCAATTCCCTGATGTGCCCTTTCTGAGCCTTCGAGAGATCTCCCCCCATACTCACGAAAAGAATCTATCTCCGTCCAGCGAAGAAGATGAGGGCCCAGTCGACGTCCGCGACGATGAGTATAGGATGCGGGAAACGTATAGCCTTCCAAGCTATCACGTCGGAACGTATAGCTCTTCCAAACTATCACGTCGGGGTCACCACTTGTGGTGGTCTGGCATTTGCTCAGACGTTTCCCTGCATCTCATTTCAAGTGCCAGACCACCACACTCATCTTTCCTTCTTTCTCTTTCCTCTTTCCCTTTCTCCTTTCCTGTCCCTTATTGGATGCTCAAATGCAAAAGGGGAAACATTTCTGTTTGACCCCTGAGCCCCATTTTTTGCCTGGACGGCCTCCTGAAGCCCTCTGCCAGCCCTGTTTTTGGCCTGGACGGCCTCCTGAAGCCCTCTGCGAGCAAAAATGGAGCCCGGGTAGGTCACACACATTTTCACTGGCAGAGGCACTGTGGCCAGACCTTCACCGTTTCCATGGCTGCCCCACAAGCCTGAATTAAGCACCCCCATGGGCCGGATTCAGCCTAGGGGGCTTAAGTTTGATACCCCTGATTTAGAGCATCCCTTAGGAGTTTGAGTTGCGCTGAGCTCATTGGAGTTGGGCAGTCAATAAATGTAAATAAATAAGTAAATAATCTGTAGAAGATGTTAATAGTTGCAAAATATGCATTATATAGAAATGTAAAGATATTACCTATCATTAGATCTGTTTTATCTAATAGTATTTCTTAGGAAGAATAGTTACTAAAGTTGGCTTTCCTATGCAGTGAGCAAAGTGGTAGAATCTTGACTGGGCTCACAACTGAGATGTTTTTCTGAAATAAATAGTAGAAGATTACAGAATTTTTGTATAATTTTCCAAATACAATGATTCTTGAAGATACTATTTTTGTTAACCTTTTTTTCTTTACATAGGAAACATGAATGGGAAAAACATGGGACATGTGCAGCTGAATTAGAGGCTCTTAACTCACAAAAAAAGTATTTTCAGAAGACACTGGAACTCTATAGAAATATTGACCTTAACAGGTGGGGAAAATTATTTTCTCAGAGTCACTAGTATTCTTACTACATGTAAGATTATCTGCTAACAAGTATGCAGTATTTAATTGACTGTGACAGCAGGGGTGTCCAACTGGCAGCCTGCAGGCTGGATGCATCATGTGTAGGCCATGCTCACCTCAACTCCACAAAGGGAAAAAAAATGTCACAATACGTCACATGACGGCAACGTGATGTGGCAAGTTTGACACCTGTGTCTAACAGGCTCTGGGGGGATAATGAGAGAGCACAGTTGTTACAGGAGGAAGCAGGTCTACTCCAAATATGCTTTCCAATTTGGGGAGTGGGAAACATGAGAAAGGGACCCAGAATAATTCTAAGAGTTGAGATGGAAAATTCTTTTGGCAGCTTTTCCAGATCCTGTTATCCTATCATACCAGAATTACATATATTTACAAAAATAAAAGTGGTTATTATTTCCTGAGTTGGCCAGTTGTGGAGGCCTTGGCATAATGCTTCCTTAAAGGTTAGAAGTTCAAAAATGTATGTTCAGGGAAGTTGCGGTTGCATAACAAAAACATTATAGCATCACTCAGTCTGGAATCCATTGGCATTGCTGAGATCTCATGAGTCTCAGTGTTGGATGGAAGATTCCAGTTCTAGGGATTATGGTATACCATGTGTTTATGTTCTCTGTAATATAAGCTTGAACTTCAAGCATCCATGAAGTTCAGAACCAGGAAAGGATTAAAAAAGGCATCACTAAGTGCCTGTCCAAAACTATTCTGGCTGAAAACATTTGTTCTGTATGTGATTATCAAATATAAATATTAAATGAACATGAGAAATTTAGATACTGTGGATCAATAAATGAAATGCAATTCCTTAAATTAGTCATAAAAATCAAACAAGAAACCATTATATGTGTGCATATATAGTATCCTTGAGATAATGAAGAACAATGGAGATAAGGAGCACTGCATTTTGGAAAAATAGTCTCAGTTGGCATAAGTTGAAATACTTTGTAAATACTCAGTTCTTGTAGGTTGCTAGTTATTCCTTTTCAATTTCTTCTCTGGCGGGACTTGGTAAAATAGGCACAATTATTTTACTTATGTCAGCATTTGGTCAAACTACATAAACTAGAAGCTTTGTGCAGAAGCCTGTCTGACATAACACATTTTCCTAATGAAGAATTAGTAAGAGAGCTTTCAGGGATCCAAGCATTCCCTGAAAGTTACAGTAGGAATTTTCAATCTGTTTTTAGAAAATTGATAAAATCGATGTCATGTAATGTTTGTCAGTGTACAATGCATAAATAGCCCTAAAATGAGTAAATTATTTTGTGAACATTGTAAGGTTTCACTTATTCTATGGATTATCAATCCAGCATTACTACTCCAATGTTTCAGTTATAGGTCTTACAACAATTTTAAGAAAAAATGAGCAACAAAAATGTAATACTAGTCAAACAATGTTAGATATACTGTGTAACTGAAGCACGTTTGACTTCTTAAAGTTTTATATGTCTTTTCTACCTAATCTTTTACATGTAGGAAAATAATGAGGAATCTATCTGTTGTGTAATTGTATGTAGTGAATTCTGTCTTTTTAATGCTGGATAAGAGTTCTTTCTCTTTCAGTTTTCTCTCAAAAGTTGGGATAAAGCCAGGCTCTACCTACTATCAGGTGAGTGAAAAGCTCACTCTGCATTGCATTCTGCAAAACTGTAGTCTTTAATTTTCATTGTATAATACTTAGTGGTGAGTAGAATCTAATTAAGTCTTTCCACTGAAGAATTCCATTAGAAGAATAAACATATCTAATCAAGATTCATTTCAGAAAATTTAAGGGTTAACTTTGGGAAGTATGAAAAGGGACAATTCTATTATAAATACAGACTTTCATCTCAAAACTTGTGTGTTATTACTTTTCTTACTTTCATGCAGGTTTCATAATTCTAGACTATGAAAACACATCTTTAGTTAAACAGATGCTTGATTCTTTTTATGTTATTTATTTCATGTTTAAATCTTCAGCTGACAGCCATCAAAGAAGCTCTTGAAAGCTTTTACAATATAATGCCAAAGATTCAGTGTATTCCTGCTGAAGAGGTACATATTTCTCTTAATGCTTGTCTAGTTAATATTTAATCATTATTTTCTAAAAACATTGTTTTTAATATTGGGAAGATTGAAGATTAAATACATCTAGTTATTTAATCATTCTTTCAGATATATATTCAACACAGACTCATCAGTCTGCCTTCAATAATTATGAAAATCCCTTCCTCCGCCTTTTTCCATCTGTCCAGATTTAGACTTTAAATGGGAAGTAAAAACAAAAGGAAGTTAAAACTGCAGATAGCTAGTTTTCATATGATTTAAGTTTATGACAATATATAGATGAAATCTTTCTTTTTCAAATGGATCTTTGTATATTGCAGGTCAGTAGGTTTAAAATAACCTTTAGATGATCTAGAAAATATAAATTCTGAGGTCTTTTTCGGACTTCAACCCAGTGACATTTCTGGCTACTTTGCCAGTTTCATTGATGAGGTGGCCGGCCAATGCCATTGGAAAACTGATTCTGTCATTTCTCATTGGTGATATATTTGATGAAGGGGCCCTACTTGAGAAAAGTTTTCCTAGAGTTCTACCTAAGTAGAAAATGCATAGCCTTTTGCATCTGTTGACTGAAGCTATTATTTTTTTATGATATCTATTTTAGATGTATAGTTTTAAAAATATTTCCAAGGAAGAGTTTCATTCTGAATACTTTTTATGCAATTTAACAGCAATAAAATATAATCTATGAAATCAATATGCATTTCCAAATACAGCTTATTTCTGTAAAAGGTTGCTGACTTTCTCATTGTGTTTTCTCAAATGTGCTCATTTTTTTTTCTATTGCTGGGAATACTGTTTTGAGCAAAATAGTTCATAAAGTTTACTGCTATATGTCAATACAGGCTTAATTTGTCTCTTGGCCATCTAATTTCTGATCTAAAAAAAAATCTTGCTCAGCATTATTCCAAGTAGTAGATATTAAGTTTATTGTGTTGTTTGATAACTTATAAATGTATATCATGCAGCTGCAACTGTTAGCTTCTGAAGATTAAATTCATTCTGCTAAACTATCAACCACTGAGATATCAATAATTCCTTTATAAACTTCCCTACACTACTTTTTCTATAATGTTGTTTTATTTTCTTTCTCCAGGGACAGCTACAAGTAATAGGCCAGATTAAATTCTGCTTTACCAAGGAGTTTATTCTGAGAAACTGTACAGAGGAACAATCTGATTTATCTTCTACACTTGAAGACAATTTTTTTAGAACAGAAGATCTGTCAGTTTGTAATGATACTCTGACTTACTACCCTTCACATATGAAAACTTACAAACATTTTTTTGGAAATGTTGTAATTTAGGAAATCTGAACATTTTAAAGTTTTAGCGGGGAACAATTATGCATTGGATTTATACAGCAAGGCCATTTGTGAAGCTAGTATTAAGGGCTTTCTTTGTGTTTTGATTGATGACTGCTTGTTTCCTTAAAATTGCTGTCCATATTATATAATGTACTCTTTCTTCAATAAAATTTATTTTTTACTTTTCTCAATTTTATTAGGTGTTTTTAAATCAATATCAATTTCAAAATTATTGCAATCTGCTAGTGATCTGCAACTTTCGTGTGAAATTTATTTATCTGTCTAAATTTTGGGGTATATATATTTGTATCAAATACAAGATTGTAGGAATTCATCAAGAAAAAGTCAAAGAATTAGAACAGTAAATGGCCATCCTTAAGAGCCGTATATTATATATTTTAAAAACCCAAAACAAATGATAAGCATATAACTGCCTGGTTTGGTACAGCAACTAAACAGGACAGTTAGGATTACAGAAAAAAACAATTGCAGCCAGCCTGCCTTCCATTGAAGACCTGTATCCTCATGAGCCAGAAAAAGGACTAAGAAAGTATCTACAGACTCTGTTAGTGTTTGGGGACAAACCCCCAAGCAGAGTGCACAGCAGCAGTCAAGCCAGGCAGCCAAATGAGAGAGAGGCTGGGCCCAAGAGTATACACACACTGGAGACAAAAACACTGTTTGTAGTTTTAAATAGTTATT